AAAAATTGTTCACAGAAATCAACAGGATATTTATGCCACCAAAAACTGCCTCAAAGGCTGAGGATAAAAGGCCAAAAGGCCCAGTTATGATGTATCGCAGGAAATACAAGGTGACCAGATTGAGTGTATAGCCCATGTGTGTACCTGCTCTGGAAGGGAATTTAAAGAAAGTTGCAGGAATTTTCCGGGAGTGGGTCATACCTGGCACTACAGAGGAGGGCAGGGTGGCTGGAGAGGGGGGAAATCCCCCTTCACACCATGTGCCATGTCTCTGGGCAAGGTGCATGCACCAAACAAGTGCCCAAGAAACCTCAACACACAGGACAGACCCCCCTGCTAGTCTGCCACCTGGAGATGAAACACAGAAATCCATAAAATGTACATTTACTGTGGTCATCATACAGCTGAGCTCACCATTTGGACACTAGTTACTCACTGTCATTCCTGCAGCTGGTATTACAAGGTCTTCATGCTCGAGAGTATATGTCCCTGGGCACCATGTGAGGGACTGACGCTGTGATCTGCCTCTAAGCTGGTCTTCTGCCATGCATATGCTTTGCTCTTTCGACATAAGTTTCCACTTACTCATCTATGTTAACATCTACATCCGTATGTATAGACAAATCCATACACACATATTTGTTTTAAATAAGCACGTTTCATAGCAGGGGAAAAATGTCCCTGTTCCTGTCTGTGTGCCCCATTCTGATCCTGAAAGGAATTCTTATCATAAAAGACACATAAATGTCCAGTCTTTTATTCTTTCATTATTTTGAAATGTGAGACCACTTGGCTGCAAGACCATTAGTTTGTGAGTTTAATACAGTCTTGCTTTTGCTGTAAGACTTTGATTAGTCGAAGGGACTTTTTCTTTACGGGAGTACAAATAAACTGCCATAAACTATAAATTGCTTGCTAATAAAATTGTTTAAAAGGTGGTTTCAATGTATCTTGATTTTTATGGGTCACACTGTGAGTGCAGCTGGTTTGAAGAGGAATACTTCCTATGCTTCCTACTGGGCTCCGGCACTGACGTCATGAAGATGCCAAAGGGCAGTTTTGCAGGCAGGTTAAACTGAGCTAAGACTATACTGCATCAGGCAGCACCTTCCTCCTCCTCTTCATTTTTTGTCACTCTCCCTACTGTCACTGGCTCTGGCTATGGCACATGGAAATGCTACACTGCAGTCACTTGCCTGTGAATAGGTAATAGCAATTACAGTTTGCTACGTCAGTGGCAAATTAGAGGAAATTCTTTAGTTGTGTGATGTTGTCACACCTTAAAATCTTACATTCTCTTTGTAGAAAAATAGAAACAGTTATCCCTGATGTCTTGGTAAAACATTATTACTAAATAGTTTTGCCTCTTTTAGTCTGTGTTTGAGTAAGCAATTTAATGCTTTTGAAGATCACTGTTGATTTCAACAGAGCTGTGCATGCAGTGGAAACAAAGCTTAGCAGACACCTAAGCACTTTGCAACCACTGAGTGGTTTGGGGTTTTGGAGGTTTGAGTTTTTTTAAGAAATTGCCCCTATTGTTTTGTATACTATCCATTCAAAGGCTTGCCTGCTTCAGAAATGATGCTCGAATTGCCATCTGGATTTGCTGTGATAGGTAGCAGTAGAGTGAATAGTATCATTCATTACAAGCAAACAATGTAATAACAGTCCCATCTTCTCTCGTGAAGACATATAATAAGATATGCATTACGAGCAATCATCTTTTTGTGTGTATTTATACTGTAAGACAAACCACTTGCACAAATACTAGCCAGCAATCCTCCTCTCCTGTCTGTAGTTGCTGCTGCAGGTATTATTTGCTCTCCTCTATAGAGGATCAGAGTCTGCTGAGTTGGTTGTTTGATGTGAGCAGTAGTGTTTTGTACTTTTAATGCCAGAGATACCTGTATCCAAGATAACATTCTTTCAGTTTCCCATGAGCAGGGTGTTGATTATTTTGCCAGGTATGAATAAATTGTTCATGCAAATTAGGCAACCAAAACCCAGACTTGTGTTATCCATTGTTCACAGTGCATGACTGTTCTTCTAAACTGAATGTGGGTTTTTTTTTAATTTACACTCCTTACCTGAATGACAGCCTGTAACAGGTACATGGACACCCCAGAGGACAAGAATAGCACTTTAGTGCTGTAAACTGAGATTCATCTGTGAAGAATGATGATGAGTATCATCGCCAACAGGATTTCCTGGAGAGAGTATAGCAGAGGATACACAACTCATTGTGGGGGTCAGCAAATATTGTCCTTTTACCTCACACCCCACAGTCCCCTGAACACAGAGGACCAAGGGTCACCAGCAAGGTTACAGACTTCTGCCATTGACAAGTTTCGCTTTTGTTCCCTTTACTTGTCTTGAGAGGCTCATAACTACAACAGCTGCAATAGTTGTTTTCCTTGAGCTGAAGACAGCAAAAGTCATCTTAAGTGAACAAATTTTCATTACCCATTAAAAAAAAAAAAAAAAAAATAGTGACTGACGCCTTTGTACCTGTGAATGGGAATATTAGAATGAAAGTAATTCCCCAAATCTCTGAAACACCCACCTCATATGAGTGTTATTTAATTATTTTAAAACCTTAGTCTTGTAAAAAACATTAGAAATTCCTATCTTCCTCCTTCTCTTTCCTTCCTTCTTTAACCACGCATTGTCCAAGCCTTCGAAAGTGACATGGCCTGCTTGTGCCTTACTTTAGTCAGATCTGTATCTTCCCTTTCTTGAACCAAAACAAAGCCCATAAACCATCCCACTCTTAAGAAGCCAAAACATTCTTCTGATGCAGAAACATTTGGTTTTAAGCGTTCCATTAAAAAAAAAAAAAAAAAAAAAATTTCATCCAAGTTGTTCCAAACTTAGATAGCAGATTGGATCATAAAAAATTATTACCCTCAGCAGCCCTGTCAGGTGAGGTCACTACTGTATTGTGGTTTCTTAATAAACTTTTTTTTGCTTGTATAAGGCCAACAAGTCTGCAACATTTTCCCTGAGCTGTTTAGTGGCATGAAATCTTTTCTGGGTAAATGGATTTCTTGGGATTAAAAATTGTGCTTTTTCTGTGATTTTTTTTTTTCTAGACAACAGATTTTTAGATTGTGGGGAATGGCAAATATACAGCTGACTGCCCAGAAAGAACATGAGCAAAATCAAACCAAATCTTAAAAGTCTGAGACACCCCCCATGTTGTTAAATCTTCTATGTTGTAGTTAAGCAAGTTAGTTGTATTGTCATATAAATACAGTATAGGGGGTGGTTGTTTCTACTGTATCTCTTATAATGTGTTATTTTTAAAGAAAATGGAAATATAATAAAAAGTCTTTGAAACATCCCTTGGAATGGCTCTGTATCTTGCATAATGGGAAGGAATCCTAGTTTCAGTGGAAGAATTTTGTTGTTGCTGAAACCTAAATAATAAAGAGGAGCATGTTCACATGTGAGCTGGTGGTTCAGCAATTCTAAACAAACCCTGTTCTCATCACACCCTACCGAGTACCTATTGTCAGTCTTCCTGCACTTTTATTTTCTTATTCTCCAGTCAGTATAGAGCTACCAGAGCAGACAAGAGCTGGGTTTCTTCTGTAAAAACCTTGAAGAAACAGCAGGGAGAATTTCTTATTTAAATGAAAAATATTAAAACACTGAAGAATTTTTTAAAGCAGAAAAGGTCAGATGAGCAACTTATTTTCAAAGGCTTTTGTTTGTCTTAAGTGAGCATGTAATTTGTCAGGTATGATTCAATTGTTAGAAGGAAGTGGAATGCTTCTTATATTACTTGTAATAATTTTTGTGATTATTTTTGTGACTGTACCAATCAGTACGACCTATTGTTTTACCTCAGGCTTGTTTGAATCTATTTGCAACCAAAATAATTTAAAAAGAACTAGATATCCAGGAACAAGTGCCAGCCAGTTTGCAATCTGACTATTTATCCAAGGTTTCATTCCAAAGACATGCACGGTTACCTTGCTATTAAAATCCAATAGACCATCACATTGTCACTGAGTTATATCTGTATTACAAATTTTACTTCCTATAGCTGACCTCAGCCTAGGAAATAGCATTTTTGCACCATTTCCAAAAGTGGCAGTGGGGAATCTTTTGGCATAGCTGTCTTTGTCTCAACTTTCTTGGTCACTGCCAGCATAAGGGATGTAATCAGGACAGGTTGCACTGCAGTAATTACCCCTTGATTCACCAGGAGAGATCCTGAGCTCTAAATTACACCAGAGCCTGAGCCACCTCTTTGCTATCCCACAGATTAAGGGAGGAGAAAAAAAAAAAAAAAAAGTATTCTGGACCACCAGGAGATGCATTCTGGTGTAATGATTACAGAAAATTGACCATTTTTATTCTGCAGTTCTGTGGCTGGAAATGGACATTAATTGTATACAGAAGAGATTATACAAGGTTTTCTCCAAGGTATGGAAGACTTCTTCACATCTGTGGTCTCCAGCTCCTGCTAATAAAGATGTATCTGCTGATTAATTTTAATTAATGTTAATTAATAAATCTGCTGTCTTAATCTCTGTAATTTACATCAAGTTAAGACAACATTATGTCCTATTGCTGAAGTTGTCATATTTCTTGGGAACTTTTTAGCTGTCTTCTCTATTTCAGTTGGCTTTCACCCCCTTTTCTTCACCAAGTTAAAGCTTTCATTAAATCTCTATCAATAATTAGTGAGGTCAGAGATGCAACAGCCAATGATGGATGGGCCCTGCTTTCTAGTACCCAGGAAATGGTGGCAGCAGGTGCTGCAGGTCTGCCGTTACAGATACAAACATCAGCCTCAGAAGATGTCTGTTCTTGACTGTTGTTGTTTGGCTTGGTGGCAGCTCATTGATGGTTTTGGGAACTGTTTTCTTGTCCACCTTATTTTTAAAACTCACCAGTAATCTTGGAAAAAGTTCCTTGTGAATTTTTCACTTTTCCATTCTCTGTTTCACCATGGCTCAAAATATCTTGACATTTAAATTATTTTTCAGAGAGATCTCACAGAATGATGCCTTGGAAGTCATAGAAGCAAATGTGTTTTCCAACCTTCCCAAACTACATGAAATGTAAGTAACGAGCAATCTAAATTCAAAAGATGCAGTTATAAAGATTCATTATAGGCAAGCATCAAAGGTTTTACAGTTTGGTTTAGGTAAGATCTGAAGAATTCAGAGCAATAAAGGAACATTTGAAACCTCCCTTTGTCTTTTCCATCTTATCTAACTGTCCCTTTCTTTCCCTGGTCAGCCTGAAACTTATCCTCAAACCACTGCTGATATCAAAAGGTGATGGGATCTGCTGGTCTGTGGCAGAATGCTCTTTGAAATCACATAGATCTTCTGTTGGCAGAAAGAAAATCTCAGCGTATAGTACCACTACATCATGGGGAAATCACAGATATTTTAAGATCAATATATGGATATATTTCTTCGGATGTTTCATTTTCTCTTTGCAGAAGGATTGAGAAGGCCAACAACCTCGTGTACATTGATCAAGATGCCTTCCAGCACCTTCCGAGCCTCAGATATTTGTAAGATCCTTTGCTTTTTGAAAGTATTATAGTAATTTTGAAGGATACAGATACATTTCTGTCCAAACTGTGCTGAGCACTTTTGGTAGTAAGACAGGGCACTGTCCTCTCTCCCCCTGCTAGTTGCACATTGTCAATCCACATTTTCATCCCCAGGCCTGCACACAGTCCTCAGAAAAGCTGAAGACAGTACCCTCAATATAATATTCACACACGTAAGACCCCTGAGCCTTTCTAAGCATCAGATTGAAACTGCATGATGTGAAAAGGAGCTGGGCCTTTTTTCTGTCTATAAAACCAACTTTAGGTTGAAATTCCTCCCAAGAACTTTGGGACAAAATCTCATCTGTTTTTGCTATAGCTTTGCCTTATGTTATACTTCATGCATATGGTATTAGGGGTTCAAATTCTCTTTTCTTTAGCAACTGCAATACTATAGCAATGGTTTTCATTAATGCATGATGTGAGGTGATTAAAACCTTAGGATACAAATATATTTGTGTATAGTATAACTTTATTTCATTCACCAGCCTCATCAAGAATGCCGCTTGCACAACTGTGGTTGCCACATCTGCTCCCATGGATTGTCATCACAATTCAGTGATAATTGAATCCATCCTTAAAATAAACTGCTACCCAAAAATGTTTTCACATATTTTAGCACATGATCTTAACATGACTAATAATCTCTCCTCTGCATAAAACCCCAGTAAAGTCCAATGAACAATTATTGTTTTTAATAGCCATAGCTTATATAAGGTCACACAGTGTTCTTTGCTGAACAATGGCATATACGTCCAGCAGGATATTAGCTTAACTTTTGTATGTCTATCCACTTGAGGACCTTGTTTTCTTTACTAGCACAAGAAGCCTGATCGTGATTTCTACATTTGAGGACATAAGAATAAGTGCTTCATTGTCTGATTAGATATTTCTTGATGATGAGATGAAATCAGATCAGTGGTCTAATAAGCATAGCTCCCAGTAAGATAATGAGCATTTAAGGTCTCTTAAAATCACTAGCATCTGAGAGGTTCTGAGCTCAGAAATGCCAAGAGGGATTGGTTTGAATTTGAACTTTAAAATTTGAGATTTAAGGTTTGGACTTTAAGAGATAAGGTGTATTTAGTGCTACCCCAAACCATTATAGTTTAAGCACTTACTGAACTGGAATAGGTGGTTGCAGTAGGTTTGTCATTCTCTCAAGTATTTTTATCAATATCTGCTTTATCAAATTCTCCAGGCACCTTGCTAAACTTTAATTTTTTGTGTCTGCAACTAAAACACAGATTTTTTTATTTTTTTTTTCTCTTGGCAACAGAGAAATAAAGCTTTAAATTTGAATTGTCATGAGGAGAAATCATATGCCTTTTTTCTTTGGTTGCAGTCTGAGTCATTCAGTGGTGACTGCATCTTTGAGTAATTCTGGCTAGCTATGAACGAAAAGACAGCATTTGTTTATCCCATATAAACCCCAGAAAAAGTTCCTATGGGTAGGACAGCTGTCAGGTGTACAGATGGTTAGAAACAATGGGAGTACATTTATCTCGTACAAAAATGAAGAACAAGAAGAAGAAATGTAAACACAATAATGAACACACTAATTTCAGTGATTTTTTTATTTTTGTTTTTTTTTTTATTGTGGGACACAAACTATAGGTTGTGAGGAAATGGTAAACCCCCACTTTAAATATCTGAACTAGTAGAAGGGTTTTTTCTTTACTTTAGTAGGTGCTCCCTCTTTTGAACATTTGGCATTCTATGGTCCCTTACATGCTGGCTCAAACATTCCAACATTCTACCTGTATAAAGTTTCAGCTGCAGCATCTCTGCTATGACCTACAGAAGAAACAGATTAAAAATATAGATGACTGCTTGTGTAAGTAGCCATTATCCACTACTCCTTAGCTAGTTCTATTCACTGGCTGAAATCAGAGGAAAATATATGTGGGGTACATTTTAAGGTAATCCCTCTTGTGGGCACACGAGACTGGAAGAGACTCCCCAGACTACTTTATCCCATCTCTTACTGGCTCTACTCCATCTATCCCATTAAGTGCTTTATTGACATTTTTGATGCTCTCCAGTGTTCCCTGCTTTCTCTCTTTTCTCCAAGAGAGGCTTTTCCAGAAATTCAGTGATTTGGTGACTAGAAATTTTTCTCTAATTTTATTCTTGTGCCAAATATTTTCTCTAATTTAAATTGATAAAATCCATCTTTGGTGTTTACTCCAATAATGGATTTATGCTGCATCTCCTCTGTGCCTTCATTTAGGAGGCAATCCCCCCACACCTTATATGACTATAACTGTACAAAAGTTGCAGACCTCATGGCTCTGAGTCTGAACAGATCAATGTGTCTTTTGTGCTAATGACAAGATTTGGGGTAGCTGTGCTAGGGGTATAAATCAGTGCAACACCTTTGGCTTCAGTGTAGTGGCACCAATTAACACCATAGGGATTGGGATCAGGACCAAAGTCCCTGTAGGAGCCTTTCACATAGTAGTGAGCTGGGTGTGACGATGAGTTACATCATGCTCAGGTCACTCTCTCTACATACAGTCATACCTTCTTGCTCTCTCTTGACACATTTCTGTAGGTAAGTGCCATTTTCTCCATCCCCTTGTTTCACTCACTGGTGCTTGCCCTTTTAGAAACCTCCCCTTGAAAAGGCAGAGAGTTTTACTGTTTGAAAGAATAGGACTGTTAATTTAACGAGAAAGTAGGAACCTTGATGGGAGGCTGCAAAATGGCAGTTGGTAAAGGTAAGCTAGTCCTGGTATTCACCTTCTAATGACATATGAGGAAGAGTCAGTTAATGAAAATATAAGGCAAGATGCTCATATGGGACTAGACTTTAAAGTAACTGAAAAGGAGGTTAAGCGTCTGTGTGGATAGAGACACTATCAACAGCTATTTGAGAAATTATAAAAATTTTCAGGCCATGAAGGGAAACTCAACAGACCTTGGTACATAACATCCTAAGTCTCCCAGTAACTGCTGGTAGTTAGGAAGAAATAGCAAGTGATTTCATAAGTATCTTGTCACAAAACAGATTAGGTGATTCTCTCCGATCATACAGGGGGTTGTGTGTGAGTGGAACAGCAAATCTGATGATGGTCCCACTGGGACATACTCCTGTTGCCCGTGTAGTGTATCTTCTCCCCAGCTGGGGTCCATGCCAGCTTCCCAAATAGTCCATGTTGAGGCAGTAGATGTGGAGACAGAGGCCTGTACTCGGAGAGGTCCTTGGACAACCTTCTGCTATAAACCCTGCCGTAGACCTCTGTAGCCCTTCCTGGTCTGACCCACCAGTCAGAACAGCTGGCACAGGCACCCCAGCATCTCGGCATAAAGAGGTACAGCAAGATCCAGCTGCAGCCAGTATGCCAAAGCAGGGGTACTCGGGTACCTGCCCAGTGGTGGGCTTGTTGTAGCTCTGAAGTTTCCAGTCTTGGTGGCAGTCTGGCAGGGTACAAGATGTGTGGTCTGATTCCCACAACAGTGTTGCAGCTGTGAGAGAACTGTTAAAACACAATTCAGAAAATCTCACAGAAAAATATACATTCACCAGCAGTTTTCATTAAAAAAGGGAGAAAAATTAAGTAGTGTTAATGCCTGAAACTGAGCCTAGGCACCAGAGCCCATCAATTTAATGACCTTTGCAACACGTTGCTTGCAAAGCTTTCTCTGTGCTGCTTTAAAAATAGTTGTATTGTTAAAAGGTCTTATTTATGGGCTGGCAAGAAACTCTGGCTAGCCTTGTCAGCCCTCTCATCAGCTTCATGGGCTCTTTACATCCACTAATATATGCTTTACCTCTGTCAACTTGGGTACAAATACTTTTCTTGCTCACCCAACTACCTGTGTCTGCTGCATCATCATTACTTATATCACAAAAACACTAAGGAGAGAAAAATGTAATGCTGAAATACTCTAAAGCTTATGGAAAAACACAACCTTAACTTTCTCAATAGTCTTTTAGAAGCAGTGAAGAGAATTGTTAATTGGTCTTCTTGGATATATGCCAAAGAGACAGACTGCTTCAAAATGGTAACTTATTGACCTTTTCATGGGTACAAGATTATTTATCTGGCTCTCATTAGGGAGAGCTGTGGCATTGTCTGTTTAATAATGTAGTAATGGCTTTTCAAACCTATTTTCTTTCCAAAATTAGTTCTCATGTGTAATCTGTGTCCTTTGGTTCTTTTTTTTTGCAGTGGATGTGTCAATGTCCTGTATTAAACAATCTCAGCTTAAAATAGAAAGGTTTAAATGTAACACTCCTTTTAGATCAATTTTGAGGGTTACAGCTGGATTGTTGGAGGATAAAGGGAAATTTAGGTGATAAAAGCATGTGCTTTATCTGCAAAATAGTTTGTATTGTGGAAAATAGATCCCAGCTGCAAAGTTTTGCAGTTGCTTGTTCCTGCCTGGTCTTATTCCGTGGAGGACCTGACACACATGTACCTGGCATGCTTCCTAAACCCAAACCTGTATCTGCTGCAGATGCAGTAAAGTCCATAGAATCACTCACTGTTTGCATGGAGTTGGCTCTGCAGTAAAAAGAAGTGATTCTCCAATCCTTCCTTTTCCATGGCAGCCTCACAGTTAAAGACTTTGCCCCAGAAGTGGGTGTTGTGGATTATAGGCTTGTCTTGGCCTTCAAGGCTGGGGCACATGAGTCAGAGGAATCTCTTGCTGGAGTTAGGCTCATGTGCAGTAAAAAGTTACCAGCATGATTAAGGGACACAAAAATAATGCTTCCTGAGTGATGTTGTATTTATTGCTGCCTACCTTGGGTTTGCAAATTAGCAAATATCCACAATACGTTGATGAGGTAAACAGTGTTCCCAGTTTTGTCAGAGTCACTCCTACCAATTTGGTGTAAAAAAGAGCAAGCATGGTGCTATATCTGGAGACAAGCAACCAGAATCTTCCAGGGATTAGCAACTGATTTTTTTTTTTTTTTTTTTCTGCTGATCATGGTGCTATGATTTCCTTAAGTGCTGACTCCAGTAAGTCTTTTCAGAAAGACAATTAATGCTTTGGAAAGCAGCCATCAGCCGTCTGAAAAACAGGTCTTTACGAAACTGTTTATGCATGGCAAGGGGGGCCTCAGTTATAACACAGATTAAAAAGGACACTTGTTTAAAGTGAGGCTACTGAGGATGTATATGTTATATGGTAAATATATTGACAAAACTGTCCTGCAGGAAAGATATTCAGTAAATTGGATTATCTACATTCTAACAAGATTATCCACTTAAAGGCCTCTGGAGATTTGCTGGTTGAATAAAAAGAGAGGGAAGATCTAGGCTGCAGTCTAGCTAAATATTTTTTTTTCAGTTCTTTTTCTGCAATTAATTAAAAGAACATCCTCTTCTACTCCTAATCACTGTTCTGTGCCTCTGTACAATCAGTGCTTTGTGCCACCTGTATATTTACTTCAATATATAATGATTCGTCAAAGATGCTTTCCTCTTCATCTCATGCTGTTCAGTTGACACCAGTACAAATTGAGCCCTGACCACTTTGGGATTACTGGAAGGATCAGGACTATCGCATCACCCAAGGCTTTGAATGTGTTTTTCACACATGTATGGTGAACGCCCTGTTAACCAGTGTGGCATTTTGATATTTTGGGAGTAAGTTGCCATTGGGAGCTGTGTTTGAGTAGCATATGTTAGAATACTATCATCTTTCATTACTGCAATGTGAGGATGGAGATTTTCCCAGGAAAGTACTGTAGAAAGGAAAGCTTCCCATGCCTCCTCTTCTGTCCTGCAATAGCCACACACTACTTTGCAGCAGTTTGCTTCTTCATTTGCCTACTAAAGGAAATGCATGTCTTAATTTGTATTTAACAAGTGGCTCCTAAGAAGAATTGCAGGAATTTTTGGCATATGAGTCATTTAAAATTAAAGGCATCTTTCAACTAAAACCCTGTACGTCTCCAGTAATTTAGAGAGTGTACTTTAAAATACTGTAAGGGTGGAGTTACAGGTTCTTCTATTACTTCTAATTTTTTTTGATAACTCCTTTTATGAAGTGTAAGTGCAGAAGTACTTTAAGTAAGGGCCTTGTGAAATACACCTGCTTCATTAATCATGCTTTCTATTTAAATGTAATGGTTTTTCAAAGGCATTTTTGTAGAGCTTTCTTGGTCACATGACGGCTGTTATTTTTAAGCTGATGCAATGTCAGACCACTCTGACTCCTGAGATGAAGCAGTCATGACATTTCAGCAACTTTCCCAAATTGTGTCCTTGAATATTCACTATACTACTTTTTTTTTTTTTTCTGCATATAATGCATTGCTTTTTGTTATAAGGTGAAACAGATAGCAAGTTGGCTTTTCAACATCTGAGGATATCCAGAGACCACCTCAGGGAGCTCAGAGCAGTACTTATGCAAGTGAATGAGTATTTTATGGACCTATGTGTCGCCCTGAGTGCCCAAATATAGGATTTGGTTGTCATATGGAAGTGTTCAGTTTCAGTTCATATGATGAAACCTGAAAGTTTGCAACTCTCCTGGAATAATCTTGATTCATAATAGACATAAAATGAATGCTGTTACTTTTTTCCAGGCTCAGCTAGTGCTTTTCATCACCATTCAATTATTTAGGAGTGAATCTGAAAAAAAAAAAAAAAAAAAAAAAAAAAAAAAGCATCCAGTAATGAAAGAATATTGTTCTGTCTAAGTGCCAGGATAAAAAATATCTTCCATATACTACTGATAAGTTCCTTAAGGAATCAATATTCTCAGTTAAAGGTTATCTTCTCTGCCATCTCACATATTAAAACTACAAAGATATAACTAAACTTTCTAGAACCCAAGTTTTCTCTTTGTTTAGTAGAGTCAAAATGAGGCATTTTGGTGGCTGGGTAAAACTCCCAGCTGGTCAGAGCCCAACCCAGTGCAGCTCCTCCTTCCTTCTCTGCTCATCCCTCCTTCCAGTCATCGGCAGCCACCATGCTGCATGGCAATATCATGTTTGTCCTGCCTTTGACACTGCTCTGGATAACGAAATTTGCTTAAATTAAACATGGTATAGCTCTGTGGATACCTGTGACCATGTTTCCTTGCTGTTTGTGGGCACAGGATTTTCATTCAGTGTCAGCATTTCTGGGATGGTGTTTCATGGACAGGAATTGCAACACAAAAGCTCAACGTGGTAGGAGGGTGGCAGTAGTTTAATACAGAGACTCAGGCCCATTTCCAGTCACACAAACCAGCTGAAACAGTCCCATGTGTTCAGTTCCTTGCTATTGGATGTGCTGGGAAATAAAGTGTCTCAATTCTCTCTTATTTTCATGAAATAGCATCATTTCCAGTGAAATCAATGTATCCTCTATTGAGCAGAAGGTTAAAATTGTGGTGAGGTGATACTTTTGTCTTAAAAAGGTACTATGAAAATAATTACCCTGTGTCAGTGCAGCTGATTTCTTAGAATATGGTTGGGAAATTAATATCAACCGTTTCCTGAGATCGTCAGGAGGGAATGTGTTTCTCCCTTGTCTTCAGTGGGGCAGAATTCAGTTTGCACTTTGGAGAAAAAACTTTTTACATTGCAATGTCAAGTTTCCTATGAGTAAACCCCTCATCTGTGGTTAAACTGTGCCTTTCGTGTCTGCTATTTTAAGTCCAGTGCTCTTTCTTCTTTGTTAATGATTGCTTTGTTCCTGGCGCAGAGTGAATAATCTTCACCTGTTCTCTCCCCCTTAGGTTGATATCAAACACTGGCCTTCGGTTTTTACCTGCTGTCCATAAGGTGCACTCTTTCCAGAAAGTTTTACTGTAAGTTTTAATGTCTGCTTTTCACTTTTTAAAAGCTCCCTTTGAATGTTCTCCTGCTCCAACAAAACCTTTCAAGACATGATTCTTCTTGTGTTCACTTATTAGCTTCATGGTTGCATTTTGGGTTGTAATTTTGTAGACATTGATGATAACGTGGCCCGAAAGGTCTCAGTTCTGTCTAGGTCTCCATTCTACAAAGCATTATAACTTGCACTTTACAGACTGCTCCTCCTTTAACAATGCTATGAGTGTGTGAGTGGATAGCCTTTTACTCCACTGAAATCCAAACCAGGATGGTGGCAGTGGAAATTTGTTGCCACCTGGTGACAGTTCTCTGGCCTGCATGGGAAGAGTTACTGATCTTATTGCTGTTTTTTGTGACGAGGTGGGCAAATCACAGAGAAAAAAAAAAAAAAAAAAAAAAAAACAGAAAAAAAAGAAGAAAAAAAAACACAAGGAAATATCTCTACCATGCTCAATTTTTCACTGCCATCAAAACTGTCCAGAGAATTACATATTTTTTTTAACAGATAATTCCAGTGCCAATAGGAAAAAAGAAAATATTTGTCTAAAATTTTGTGTGAAAGCAAGAGTTTTTTCTGTAAAAGCACCTTTTTTTTTTTTCTGTAAAAAAAAATGCATATCAGAAAAATCTTGATTTTTTTTCACTGAAAAAGACCTTGACATGATTTTTTCTATCAGTTCTTCATGTAATTGAAAGCAGAAAACCGAGGAAATAAGCAGCTATTTATTCTCTTTATTTGGACAAGATATATTGTTAATGTACAGGCAAAGTTCTGAATGTGCAAATCTTTGATTAGAAGATTTCAAGCTGCAGAGACATTAATCTTGCAATTGTCTTAGTAACAGCCATTAATGTAAATAAAAATGGATAGAAAGCATAGAGGGGGATGCCTGAATATAATATACAAATATATAAGGTAAGAAGTAAATTTCTGTAATGCACTTGACATACATAATTCTGAGAATTACATTTCAGCTCTCCCCAAAACCATCAAGCAAATGCAACAGATACAGAGCTACAGAGCCTTCCTCTTGTATACCTATATGTTTATCATCAGTCTTAACTAGGCTTGAATTATTGTGGCCAGCTGAGCAAGAGGGTTTTTTCGTTTTTTTTTTTCAAATGAAACTCCTTGCTTTCCTGTAGGAATAAGTAGGCATTGATCATGCTTGAGTCCCAAACTGGACCTTGGTTCACAGCCTGGCCCCACCGAGGTCAATAAGAAAATTCTCATTGGCTTCAGTTGTGCCAACATTTAAGTCCCAGAGATAGGTCTCGATGGGCTACTGATGTTTATAAAGGGCTCATGCAGATCCTTAGCAGAGGGATACACTTCACTTGTATGGTGTCACAATCCTTTGTTCCTACCTCTGCTGACCTCCATGTGCAGAATGAGGCCTCTGCACGTCACTTAATATGGAGTTGTGGCCATATTCAACCATCAGCATGAGATAATTTTGGAACTGTACTTAATTTCAAGCTTTGCAGATAATTAATTCCGTTCCGTGCTTTCCAACAGAAACAGCATGAAAACAACCATATCCCCAGTCTAAATTATAAGTAACGCTATTTAATTTCTTTGAGGTCTATTTTGAGCAAGTAACAGAAAGTATATCTGCCGCTCCTTTTTTCATATCAGTCAAAACTGCTGAAAGACTGAAATGCCTACTTGTCATTTCAACAAACTGCATTGACAGGGGTCCTGCATCTTAAGTTCTTAAGCACATACAAAGCTTATAAGCAACCCTGTTGACATCTGCGGGGGAATGATTCGTGGGCTTGTAGGTACCCTGCTGAATCAGGCCAAGAAGGCTAATGGTTTTCCTTCTTCTGGTTGGGAGGCTGTGAGAAGGGGTGGCCTCACAGCCCTTCAGCTTGCATTTTCTGAGTCGTATATTTGCTGGAGGAACTATTTCATCCACCTCAGGGTTATGAGACACAAGCTTTTATGCATTTTAATGACTTCAGCCTATTTGGGAGGAAAGTATAGGGGTGTTGGAAATGTTTTGCTCCAGCTTTTTTTACAAGGAAATACAGAAAAAATGTCTTAAAAAATTAAGTTGTTACCTTCTGCCTATAATAGTTGCTCAGATTGAATATAAGGAAAAATACTGTGTTTGAAATAGCATATCATATTGAAAGGCTCAGAGAGGTACAAAAAAGTGTAGTTTCTATTGTATTTTATTTTTCAGAGATATTCAAGACAATATCAATATACGTACAATTGAAAGAAATTCATTCACGGGCCTGAGTTCTGAAAGTGTGATTCTGTGAGTAAGACATAGCAAATTCATTATTTTCCTTGTTAGAACATTTCTTTTCCAGAATAGGGTCAAGGAAACCAGGGAATGGGCACAATTTCATATGCTTCCAAATTCAGTTTGAGGTTTTAGACTTTTCCCCTACCCCTGAAATCTCTATATTCTGTTTCCCTACCACGAAAAATTAATGCTTTTGTGGGGTTTTTTTGCTGTATTCTAGTCCTGCTCTTTATTTTAGAAGTACAACATAGAGCAAATTTAGTAATTACTGATGCCACAGTTAAACTTATTCCTCCTACAACAACAGTTCCATGTGATACAAATTGTGTTCAAAAAGATGGCATGACTCATAAATATTTACAGTCAGACACGTTATTCAAAGACATTTATTACTTGGGCAAAATATATGTAGATGTTGCGGAAATGCAGTATATTTGTGCACGATGCTAATGCATTGATACAGGCTGGTTCACAATGCAGTTTCAAGCTGCATGGTTAGATGATTCGACACTTGACTTGAATAGTTGTGTATTTTAATGCACTACCTGGCTTCTTTGATCCTTTCTGTTGGTATATCAAAACACACTGTTTGCTTGCTAACAAGCTGCCTTCATTTCACCTAGCGAGTGGCCAGATTGGAAAAATTTCCCACTGGGTGTGTGCAGTTTACCTCACATACTGGAGCAGACAAGCAAGATCTGACTGACTGACTGGACTCACAATGATTTTGGTGGGAGCAAGGTCAGACCATTAATATTTGAAGAGAGGCCAGTAACAAGTCACTTAGCTGTTATCTCTTCTTCCCCTTTGCTTATGCACAACCTCTGTCTACGTCAAGTTCCCTGAAGTTTTAAAGACACACACAGTTTTCTCAGATATATATTCAAGTAATGATACCCCAAGTGCACTGGCTTTTCTCCTGTGATGCTAACATTTGCTACTCAGGTGGAACTTTGTATTTTCAGAGCACTGCACAACAAGTACTGTATTTGTTTCCATAATACCACTAAGGGGTGAGATAAATATCCCAGTTTTTTACTGTGATTTGACCTCTCTGTGCCACTTGAACTTTATGAAATTGGCTTCCCCTCTCTCCACGGGGTATCTCATTGCTTATATGATTACTGCCTGCATATTGAAGAATAGTCCTCTCTGAGAACTTCAGGCTGCTGGTTTACCAGCAAAACTGTCCTGGGTCAGCAGGGTTCAATGTCCTCTCCCAGCTGCTTTGCCCAGATTCCTGCAACAGCCCCATTGCCCCGGGCTCCCACACCCACCAGTGGGTGCAGAAGCAGCAAGAGCTGTGCAAGCAGACCTGACCACCACCTGCCTGGTCAGTCGATGTCCAGACTCTTCTCCCTTGGGACAGAGGCCCTGCATGCGCTCTTTGAGAGACCCTGATTAGGCTTTCCTTGTGCTGAGATGAACTTACCTCATTTTAGACCAAATTTTATTGGTTTTCTATACAAAACTGAAGTCACTATACAGTGCAGTATAAAGTTACTCTTACAGAGACATCATTTTGTGAAATCAGATATGTCAAGATGGCATTAAAAATACTCAGGACCCACTGAACTCCCACATTCTAGGGAGACACAATTTTAGTTAAACTGGTAATTTAGATTGCATCTGATCTTATGCTATGCATGGGATCAGCACAGAGTGGAACTGTGGATACATTTTGTAAAAAAGTGCTAGAAATTTATAGAAGAAATTCACCTTGCTTCCATGTCTACATACCACTTAGAGCCTAAGATAGAGCTTTCCTGCCCTGAAATAGGGTGTAAATAGTACCACAGGGACAGTGACCTACTGCACCAGGTGAATTTTAAAGCATGTTTTAAAAATACCACTATAGCCATGAAATGGTGAGTAAAAGCCCACATGTTCAAGTTCTGGATCTCTGCCTCCATTGTCACTTGTTGCTAACCTAAGAGTTAGTGGAGTCAGTAATGATGCTGGTTCAAGTGAGGGGAGAATTTTTCTCAAGAGAAACTTGTCTATATGTAGTATAATGAGGTCTTGGGATTCAGGTAAATTTTTTTTCCTCTTTTTACTACTTGAATGCAGTTAGCCAGGTGACAGGAGTGTATAGTCCACACTGTATGGCAACAGTGACTCTGATATTACGACCTTAGTATCTCATTGCGTTAGCATCATGTTCAGTGAGAGAATGAAGTACTAATACTGTGATTAAAATCACATATATCAGCCTGGCAGCTACGAATGGATAAGATCGATGTAATATAATAAATGTTTTAAACACTATAAGCAGGGACATGTCTCTACTCTGTGCCTGCTCACTCATGTCTAATAGAGCTTGCAAGTGAAGGGGACGGTGACAGTTCTCCTGATCTGACCTGACAGACGTTATAGACACGGAGCTATGTACATCTGCCTGTCATGGTCAAAAGGGTAATCCTTTCAGCCAGACCCATAACTGATTTTCATGCTGACCTTAACTCACTACCTCAGACCTTAAATAAGTGGGTCACTAGCATCCTCAGCTTTCATTATGAATTAGAAACAAAACATCCAGGTTTGCTGACAGTTTAATTAAATCAGGCCATTTTTGCCATCAATCAGACCTGTCATTGCCTGTTGGAGAGGGTGTGAGTTGCAAAGTAACGTTTAAAGCGAGATGAAAGATTGCACCATAAAGATGATAAATATAACTGACCCAAATGTAAATTTTTAAGACCGTGAAGGGAAGAGAGGGAAGGACGTTAAATGTTAATTAGTTAATGCACTACAGTAAAAACTTGGCAGAAAGCCCTAGGAGCTTTGATTCCCAGGTTCACTACCTGTGTCTCCCCTTGTGGGAAGGAACCCCAGGGAGGTGGGACTGGGACAGCAGAGCAGACAGGGAGCAGTCGAGGCAGCAGATGTAGGAGGAATCAGCTGCCTCCCAGGCAGTTTGGAACCACCACCACCCCCTCCTGCCCTCCTGCCCAGCTCAGTGATGGTCAGCATCTCTCCTCAGCCTGCCCAGAGGAAGATGTGAGACCATCGTAGACTGAACTTTTTTCCTAAGAACTGGAAAACGTTAAGCCATGGCCCGGTGTTTCAAAAACATCATGAAAAAAGTAAAACTAAATGGCACCAACAGCACCAGCAGGAATGATCCTGGTCTCACACGTCCTGGGATTAACCTGGAACAGCCTCCCTGCCTCCACTGCAGCCTCCCCAGGGGAGCCATGAGCAGCCCCAGTGTCTGCATCAGCTCTGCCCTTGATGCAGAAACTTGCTCTGGCTATCATCTCTGATGGTAGCACTCATCTGCCCTATTCATGTCTCGAAAGCCTTCCTCCAACTATTGGGGTCTTAGCAGTGAATATGCATAGAATTTTCACCATTTGAATATCCATTTAATAATTTTGTTTGAGATCCCTTTCACTGATTTGAAATATATACATTTTAGTTATGAATCATGAATAAGTACACAAGTCTTTTGTTTTGTTTTTTTCTTTTTCTCTATTGCAGATGGCTGAACAAAAACGGAATTCGGGAAATTGAGAATCATGCATTTAATGGAACCTACCTGGATGAGCTGTAATTATTTCTGTTGTTTACTATTCTGAAAAACAAACATTAGGAAGTAGCTGCAATCTATTTCTTTAATCTCAGATTGTTTTAGCGTAAATGTTGTGTTTTTCAGAAATCTAAGTGATAATCATAACCTAGAAAAATTACCAGATGAGGTCTTCCAAGGAGCCAATGGGCCCGTTGTTTTGTAAGTAATATTCAGACATTATATTTTCTCATTATTAACTCCCTAGAGAAGAACATACAAATGCCAGTCTGGACTTCAACATCTCACCAAATCTTTGAGTTCAAAACTGGCAGAATATTCTATAGTTCTGAATATTAGAAAAAAAAAAAAAAAAAAAAAACCTGGAAGCCGTAACTGAAATTTCAATCTAGACCCATGTTTTCACTTTGTCTTCAAGTTTTGGGGAGTATTTGGATCCAGGGATTTAGATCCAGATTCTTATCCACAGTCGATTAAGGTCTGTAAGAGAGTTCTGCTTTTTTTCCAGATAAAAATGCTGTTAGTTTTTTGTTTGAGCAAAATCAAGAACAGGTGAGTGGGTCCTTGGTGATTAAATCTGTATTGCTTCCCACTGAAGACCTGCCCCTGCATCTCTGAAGCTTAATTCTGAAGATAAAATGCCTACCCTACAGGGATAGAGATTGGGGTGCCCCATCCCCTATAGAGATAGGTATGAGATATATCTCACACAGTTTACAGCAGGATGTCTTTGGTGGGTGGTAAGATGGAAAGCGAGATCTCAGTAGTAGAGAATTTAGCAGTAGGGTGCTCATGGATTGGTCATCGTTACCCGAAGCCATGGTTTGCCATACGGTCGGAAAATGCCTGTGAGTGTGCACAAGTGCTTGTGTTTCTGAGCACAAGCCACAATGTGTAAGAGCTGCAACAGAGACATGGGAGTCTTTTTATTCTCACCAATTCATCAGAGCCTTTCTCTCTTCCCATCTACCCTGGATGTCAAGAGAGGGCTAGGAGTCACCCAGAAAGGGTGAAAAGGGGTCACTGAAGCTGCTAAAAGATTTTACACGGATGTTAGAGTGGTTAGAAATGTAAAAAAGGGGGAGAAATATGTCTGGTTAACCTTGAGTTCAGATAAGAGTTCTTCTGAAGACCTTTTTTCCACGTTGTGATGGTCAGAGCTGTGGTATGGGTTACTACATTCTGCTCCACTTCCATCACTCAAACTGTTTTCTTTCTCTGGAAAAGACTGCCAGTGGAGCATCTTTTCAGCAGTAATATCATAGATGTTTCTTTGGAAAAGCATTGTTTCCTGTAGTGAAAAGTAAATTAATTTTCTTTGCAAGCTGTAGTTGATACAATCATATTCTGGAGGTTTAACAAATTGATTTGGCTGTAGTTCAGATTCATTTGATAGTTCAATTTCTAACACTGAGCTATTTGCGTAAGAAGTTTTCTGTTCCACTGCCAATACATCCGCTCTTCTATGGATGGGAAATTACCTTTTTATCCCAGCTGAGATCATGAAAGAGCCTTCTTACTCCTCTGTCACTGTAGAGTACACCAGGAATGTTCTTTTGCTTGTGAAAATGATTGACCCATAATCATATCTTTGCTGGGATAGTGTTGTTGCAATCAAGTCTGTGTAGCAGACTGCAATGTTTTACTAGAATGAACGTCATGATGTTTTAACTCTTTAACTTTCTGAACCAATGTTCTACAATCAATTAATGACAACTTCTATTTTATAATTCAACATATTAAAATAATGTGAAACACAAACAGTAATGTCAGAAAGCACCAATCTTAGCCCTTGTACAGGCTACACAGTTTCACAAATCAATTCCTCTCTTAGGCTTATTGCTGTTGGTTGAATTAGAATATCTCTTTTGGAAAGACATCAAGTTTTAAGTTAAAGGATTTCAGTGCTGACAGTAGGCAAGTAAATGAAATGTCTAATTACTCCCACAGCTATACATATTCCTTCTATACAGAAATACACTGTAGTTCCAACATGGAGTTTCATAGCTTCAATTTTCAGCCATATTGTTTCATTTAATCATCTTCTGGTGCTCCCAGAGCTGTAGTGGCTTACACCAGCTTTTATTGAAGTCTTTAGGAGTTCTCTGGTTGAATGTAAGGCAAGGTATGCCTATGGTCCTTCCTATCCTTGCAATTTGACTTCAATGGTAAACCCACACATAGGGGCCACAGAAGAGTTCCAGTATCTCCCCAGCTTGACAGCTGATTCCCTGTGTCACAGCCAGAGATCAGTTTAGATATAAGCACAGAGAAAATTGTTCTCACTGATCAGTCTACCTCTCTTTGATTTCTGCTCCATCAGTCATTTCTTGCTATTTCTGTACATGCCTTTCAAACCTCATCAGTTGGTCAGTATTTTTGCTAATCCAACAGAGACTCCCAGTGGGAAAGGGAAGTGATTGGAAGAGAAGTCAGATTCATTTTGCTGTTCCTGCACTGGCTGCTGTCAAAGCTGATGAATAGCAGCCAAGCAATAATAATACAAGAACATGTATTCCAATCACCGATGCTTTCTGGTTTGATTTTCTACTGCCACTTTATCGTCTTGTTCATCGTGCTTATTTAATTTATCAAGCCTCTAACTAGAGTGCAGTGTCCCAAAGAACCTCCGCACTGAGGTCTGTGCATGGTGACTCAGTGGAGTAAGTTACTAAACCACCTGAACAGTGTCTGTGTTTGCTGTTTGGAGCCTTGGCAGTGGTATATCGATAGCTATCCCTAACAGACATACCAACAAAACCCTCAGGAGATACTTTTAAGTCTATCTGATATTCCTATTCATATTTACTTGTTATTTCCACCAGTGTAATAACAGTTTGGACTCGGTAAAGATTTTTAGCTAACAAGATAAAAAAAAAAAACATTTTCCATGCTCTTGTTCAGAATTATGAGCCCTTGTGAAGTTTCACAGGTTCTTAATGATGCCATGAGTGATGCTGTTTGTGGATTTAGGCAAAAAACTGCTGTTTAGTTGTTGAGTCACGAGCATATACTCTAGGTGACAGTTTTCATTAGGCAGCATACTAAGGGCAATAGTCAGTCCATGAAACAATCAAGGTTGCTCGTTGAAACCAAATTACCTCTTCAGGTGTCTAAGTCAGAAATCGATCACCTAAAATTTCTCATCAGCTGCTGCTTTTAGCTTCTGCAAGAAACAGGTCAAGCCTAGAACAACCTCAGGACCATAGCGTGGCTTCTCTCAGCCCGACCGGCACAAATTCAAAACATTTCTGACTCCACCAGTCTGCCTTGCCCTCCCAGTTGAAGTCATGGCCCCGGGTCAGGGTAGCATAGTGGGGTCTGTGTTCACTCCTCTGCTGCCACAGTTCATGGTCCAGTTGCTGAAGGTGGTACATTCCTTCAGAGACTGGATGCAAAGCCTCAGCTGTGGGCACAGCATGGACACAAAGAGCATCTTTACCCACCACCAATTTTACTGACTGCTTCAGTAGCTGCCTATGAATTTGTTAGGCTTGGCCACCGTAAGCTGAAGACTGTGACTTCAAGCAGAGCCATTTCCTGGTATCAATTTCATTTCTTAGAACAGAGGTGCAAATACACATAAGGTACATAGCAACTGTCTAAACTTTATTACATGCTGCTAAAATCTAGTTTCCCTCTCACATGGCATCACTCTACTGCATTAATATGATAATAAAAACAATTTGTGAATGTTGGGTAATAGATATCAAATAACATGTTTTCCTGACATTGCACTGTTATGGATGAATTGGAAACTGTACCTTGGAGGGGGCATGGAGAAAATTACAAATACTGTCAGTCCAATTCCTTGATTAGGGAAAATTCCTTTCTTTTGTCAGAGAATAAAGAGCAGATCAGCCTCAGCAAACACTGCATCCTCAATCAGTCTCAGGCTACAAGAGCACAGGGACTAAGGGAGGACAGGGTGATTTTTGTGCAGTTCATTTTTACTGTTGCTCTGAAGAGAAAGGAGTGTGCTCTCCTGCTGTCACAAGCTGAGGGACACAGTTTGTGCCCCAGTTTGTCACAGCTGTTACATTCTGGAGCCATGGGGATGGGTTCCCAAGTATCTCCTAGCCTGGAGATGGGGCACTCTTGGTCCTTCTTCCCTTTCCCCATCTGCATGGCACAAGTCAAGATTTAGTGTTTGCACAGTGTGTTTCCTTTTAAAAGCTCCACTAATGCTCTCTTTAATCCATTTGTAGCTGCTCCTTTCACTGATGCCTTTGATAGCCTGTCCCACACAGTAATTGCCTTCCACATAAATACATCTCTCCTAACCTCCTGTAATCTTGCCCCTTTCTTTGCTTCAGTCTGTGCTCTCTTTGTTTTTTAAACCTCTGGAAATGTTTTGTTATTTTTATTCCTCACAGTTTGAACCATGCCACCTCTGTCTTGCTTTAATCTCCTTTTCTTCCCAATGATATCCCCAACCTCTCCTCACATATGTACCCCCATGTGAGCTTCTCTCTTTTTGTTTATTTCATTTTCCACAGCAGTCTTCCCATGATGTGATATTCATGTAGCAAACTTTTGTTGTGATTTCATCAGCCTTTTTTATCCTGTAAGAGAATTCTGGGATGATTGTTGCATTTACTGGGTATTTACTAAGCCCAGTATCATGTGGCATTAATGGTTTATGTCCCTGCTAATTCTTACGCAGAGGATTATGGGATTTTTTTCTCTTTTCTCAGACCAGACTATCACCACTTGATTGTTGTTTATGATGGATATTAGTTCAGGTTTCCTGAAGGAACACCCGATTTATGCCTGGATCCTCTTTTCAGTGTAGATTTCCAGCTGATCTCTTTCCAGTCACTACTCTGAAGATGAGTAGGACAATCTAAAACACATACCCATGGTCAAGCAGAAGTAAATTTGCTTTTTACTGAGATTTTCATATGTTTTCTTAAAGGGATATTTCAAGGACGAGAATCAGTTTCCTGCCAAGTCATGGATTAGAACTCATCAAGAAGCTAAGAGCAAGGTCCACATATAATTTAAAAAAGCTTCCTGATTTAAACAAATTTAGATCTTTGATTGAGGCAAACTTCACCTATCCTAGCCATTGCTGTGCATTTACAAACTGGAAAAGAAAAAAGTAAGTGATTTCCTTTGTTTTTCTTTTTGGTGTTTCTCAGCAGTTGATAGTGAATTAAATAAACTTCCTCAAAATCTGGATAGAAAAGGTCTCTTCAGTGCAGGTAAGTAAATGTATAGAAATAAATAAACATACAATACATACAAGTTTATGCATGCTACACAGTGTACTGGCTCTCCATTACAGTGGAGTAATAAATTTTTATATCTGTGTTAGCATCTGCATTTTCCCCAGCTGCAGCTCTAACACCTACCTGTCATAAATCCATCTTTCACTGGGACCTCCCATCCTGGATCAGCTTGGAACCATGCTGGAGACACTCAACAGGAAAAGTTTGATAACTTTTCAGAAGGCAGCTGCAGGGAAAACTGTGTTTGCAGAGAACCTGGGCAATATTTGGCCATCAGTTCAGGAGAGTAACAGGACCTCTGAGTGATCTTAAACTCTTATCTCAGAAAGCCACCACCAATGTTGGAACACTGATCAACCAAACGCCACAGATACATTATCTGTTGAGTCTACATACACAACGTTTTTAGAAGTGATTTCTGAAGTGGTTACCCTAGAGAAGATCCCTTTTACCCAAATCAACAGAGGGTGTTGGGAGGGTATGGCATCTTTAGCAGGGACAAAGTAATTGTCTATGCTTGTTTTAATTTTCCATTAGCAAGTTGTAGTGAGACTTCAGGTATCAATGATTATCATTGAGTATTTTCAGCTGCTCAGATAGACTTTAAATGTACACATTAAATAGTTAATGAATGTCCTGAATTTGTGCCACTGGAAAACATGAGGAACAGGTACCTCCAGAAACCCTTGTTATTGTTCGAAGTTCTTCCTTTACTGGATGTCCTCAAAGACTTGAAATTTGCCATGGCAGAAAAAAAAAAAAAACAAAAAAAAACTGTGGATCATTGCTATAATTCAAGACATTCTCTTCAGAAGTTGCCTAAAACTTCAAATAAAAGTAAACCCATTACCTGTTGGTAGCTTCTATTTTAATACTTAGTTAGTTATTTTACTTTTAGCATTGCATTGTCACCAGACAATGAAACAGCTGATCTTGCTTGTGCTGATAGCTAATAAATATCACCTACATGAGTTTGCAAAACTATCTGTTTAAAGACTACAAGTCTAATGGTGGATAAGGGAAGTATCTGATAAAGGAAATATCTGACAGAATCTATTCCCCGTTGTCCATTATTGATCCAAAATGCTAAACTTTTTGCTAGGATGGTTTATCAACAGGAGATATTTTCACATGCTTATGCAGACATAGTGCTTGGTAGCTTGCTAGGTAGAAACGGTCCAGTCGTTCCAGCACTGGTGGTAAAGTGATATTTGTCAGTGAGTCTGATGGAGGCATGTTTAGTCCTGGATCTGTAAAGGGACTTTGATATTACTATGATTAATATTTTTGAAGGAACTTGGCTTCTGGGCTGCTTGGGTCAAACCAGGACCCAGATCCCAGAATCCACCCCTTAAATTAGGCAACCGGACTTTTCAAAAACAAAGATTTACCTTTGAAGGAAGATTACAGGAGGAAATGGCCCTAACCTTGTGGTAAGTTCTCAGCATCTAGTCCCCTCATTTGGGCTTTAAATAATTTCCATGTCATGTTCACCTCAGGGAATTGAAGCCCACAGTACTCACTCCCCCCTTAGTATAGCCCCATTTTTGAAAGCTTCTGCCCTGACAGGTAAGAATCCAAGGAGGACTTAAGCACCCCTTCCCACAGCCTGGGCAAGTGTAATTTTGCAAAGAAATGCCAATAAGCTGTGCAGAGCTCACGCCACCCAAGTTCAGATGGCCAGTGAGCTGGGCTGGAGCACCATGAAGCGGTGGGGCTGCTTCTGGAGCAAGTCTGGTCCCAACTTCACAGTCCTCTATAGTATCAGGTGTGATGCAACAGTAAGAAATAGTATGCAAGTTGGAAATGCTCTTTATGATATATGATTACTTGAATGTTCATGTGAACTGTATCACCCCAATCAACAGAACAAAGTTGAATGTATTTATATATGTCTTTAATAGTTACCAGATGTATCTTTTACAAAATATTAAGCATAAATGCAAAATTATTAGAACGAACACTTTAGATCAACCCTTCCTGTTACCTGCTTTAAGACATAATTAAAAATTATAATTTCTTTCGTACAGTCATGTGTCTTATACTGAAATTGATGGAAGACTGATATCCTCTCTCCAGCTTAGAGGAAATGGATGCATTTTAGTTCAGTTTGAATACCAAAGGTGTTACCGTACACTTCAGCAGAGATTAGTCACATGTACAGTAGCTACACGCCCTTTCATTTCAAAGCAGTTTTCATGACAGTTGGCACAAGCTGCGTGTGCATTGAAGACTGCTCAGGTTGTTTAAGAGTTATTAATAGTTTGCAGTGCTTGATCACACAATGCATTATTTCTTTGGTGAGAGCTGTGCTTGGTTCAGCGTAGTGAGCATCACTTGTGGTGGTGAGAACCGTGACATAACCAGACTTGTCATGCACCTTCACAGGAGACGGTCATTCTCTCATGGATTTTTGTGTCTCAGGATACATACAGGTAGTCCAGGGAGGATAAAAAAGTTGTCTCATCACCCCCAGAAGGGCATCTCTAAGGATCACAGCAACAACTGGTGTTCACATGGGGAAGCTGGGAGGGAATTAAGACAGGGCTGTGCGGCCCCTTTCTAGCTGCCTCGTTTATGTTAGATTTCCCCTCTTTGAGACTTTTGCAGAACTGAGAATCTTAGATAAAGTAAGTTGCCATAGTGGATCATGCTCAGTCACCTCTCCCAAATCCATCTGCACTGGCAAACAGCTGCTGGTGTGATAACAGAAAGCTTACACCCATTACAGTGGCAGTGCTTTCTAAACTTTGGAGGGTGTTGCATCAAGCACAACTTCATCAGACACAAATTAAAATGTAGACAATTTTGATGTACTTTTTTTTCCATTCCTATTAGGATTATAAGATAAACATTGATCTGTAGATTTATCACACTGGAACACTGTGATGCTGGCCTAACAGAAGGTAAACTGCTTTCTGAGAACAAGCCCAGTGCAGTATGTTGAACTCCCCTCACGTTTTTCTGTGATTGGAAAATAATATCCCTGAAGTGTGGATAGGGCAGAGGCTGGATGTTAAAACCCTCAGCTTGACACAGACCATTATGAACTTCAGCAAGCTTTTGGCTTTCTTTGACATAAAGATCACCTTCTGCCTAAAAGAATGACATTGATATGACTCTGTCCTTACACTTGATCATTATTCTTTGGAGGAGCTGTCACTTGAAATTCTACTTTTTTTTAAAAAGTGTGGCAGCATCAGGAGTCGTGTTTGGACCTCGTCTCATGAGAACATAATATCAGTTGCTCACAACTCACTTGATGTCACTTTTCAGTGAGGATGATTGCTTTGAGATAGGGCTTAATACAGAACCTAGGTTGGGACTATTTATTCTGCTGAGCAAGTTTCTCAGCACACAAGATCCTGCTGTCACCGGTTCCAGAAAAAGTGCATAAAATAACCACTTGTACAAAGGTAGTCATTTTTGTTTATTTTTTCAGAGCACTCTGACAATTTTAATGTTACTCTTTAAGCTGTACTTTCTCCAGTTTATTTTTCAGAGGGTTTACTTGAGAAAAACAACATTAAACAATAAAAGAAGGTTACAAAGAGACTGAATATATGAAGTATGTTACAATACCTACCATCTCAAAAGGAAGTAAGGACCCATTCCTTGCCAAAAGAATGTTAAAATTTGTTTCTCTGAATGCACTGCACAGCCCAAAAGGCAAACATGCCAGGGCAAAAAATAACAGTAAGCAGTCAGTACAAGAGGACGGGTTTTCTTCCCTTGGGATTTTGAAGCTGCACACCTTATCTGCTCATGGTGCAGGTAACCAGCCAGGAGACTCCTCACCACCCATCCTCAGAGCAAAGCAAGCAGCTGCCTCCGTGGGACACTGGTTTTATTTAGGACAGCTGGTTGTGAAATAATTCAAGAATTCATAAATTGCAATGATCAGAAATATTTAATTAGCATTAAATAGCAGTCTTATCAGGGGATAGATTTAGCTCCATGCAGTACCTCCATAATTTGGGAAAAGGTTTAACTCATAGCTGAGAAATTATTGGATAAAAACATTTCCCTCAATTCATTTACGAAGAACCACCAACTGCAGTATCTTTCGGTGCCCTCAAGTGCCTATTGCATTCAAAACTCAGGGACTTTCTCTCCCGTTATTGCTTCTTGGAAGTATATATTCCCTTTCAGCTAGAGAACTGTTGATATATTGATCAATACACTGGACCCCTCACTCATCCTTATGTGAGCAGAACACAGGGGAGCAAAATGTAATGCCTTGTTATTGCTATTGTGACCTTCATAGTGCATATTTGACCTCACAGAAAATCAGTTTTCTGCCTCAGTTGACAGGCAAGATAAAAAATATTAATAATAGTAGGGGATGTTCAGAACCTCATAGGAAATGTCCCTCACCTTCTGGTGCTGGGCCTTCATTAGTTTTCCTTTCCTGCAGACCTTTTAAACTCAATTTTTGGAAGATATAGTGAGTGCACAAAGTCAAAGGGTAAAATTAGGTTACAAAAAAAGAATTCTCCCTTTTAAACTGCTACCAATTGTTTAAAAATTTCAACCTAACTTGCCTAGAAAGCTCTTCTCTTAATTGTACTGCAAGTCAAGGAGGAAGATAAGCTGTGGTCCTGTCCTAGCAATTATACACCTAAATTTCTCTCTGGGCTGTAGATGAAAATAGGTAGAGCTGAACTGTGTCGGTTTTACAGCACATTGTCAACTGGTTTATTCCCTCGCAGATTACGTCTGGATCCAATTTATGCAAAGCTGCAGATGCAAGTTTCTGGGACAGGAAACTTCAAAGGTGTCCTAGGAGAGGCAGTTGTTAAAGTCTGATCCTTTATTTCCTGTTGATATGCCTTGATATTTCTTAGCTTGATGGGTCTGATCATCTTTCTGTCATCTCGGCCAAAACATTTGTTTGTTCTGTTGGTCTAGGCATGGAGAAAGGTATAGAGTCAATACTCTAGGAAATAAAGCCAAACACAAAACTACCGAAAATATTAATTTTATCTTTAAAGGCATTTTTCCTTGAAACTCTTTTCCTTTATTTACCTTTGCTACTGAAAATTCTCAAAATGTTTAAAAAAGACTTTTTGACAGAAACAAAAGCAACTACTGTTTCCACAGAAATGTTGGTTTGGTGTGGTGTGGTTTGGTTTAGTGTGGTTTGGTTTGGTTTGGTTCAGTGTGGCTCAGCTTTTCTTGACTTTGCTTCACTTCACTTGGTTTCTGATCCATTTTCCTTGAAAAAGAGTTTTTAATCAAAATGTTCTACCATGTCTTGTGTTTGTATCTGTGTTGGCATCTGCCATAGAGATTATCTGGAAGCCTGTGTGAACTTATTTATGCTATTTATTTGGTTTCCTGGCCAGTTACCAATATGACATGTGATACTTAAAATTAGTAGCACAAACTGGAGTTGTTCTGTGCCCTGACAGAGTTACAGGATTGAACACAGCACACTGACAGTCAAAACCTTTAGGAAAAAAAAGGGAATTTGAGAGTAATACCAAGAAATAGTAGCATTATTGTGATTATACAGACTACTTATGGGCACAGCTGAATTGACTCATTCTTAAAAGTTCAGTCTTACCTCGGAATTCACCATCATGTATTTTCCCCATGCAAGAATCAGCTTATCAATGACAGGTTATATGAGAAATTTTGTTGAAATAAGGGAGGCTTCTTACAGAATGCTTTATCCAGGTGGGTAACTGCATCATGAGTGTTAGTAAGGCAAACATTGACCTTTCCTTTCCCTTACATTTTATAGTGTTTCTAAATAATTTACACTTTCATGTAATATTTTATAAACAGGGACCAGCCAAACTATTAATTTCAAGCTCCAGGGTAGTCTGTAATAAATAGGGACCAACCAAACTATTAATTTCAAGCTCCAGGGTAGTCTGTAATAAATAGGGACCTACCAAACTATTAATTTCAAGCTCCAGGGTAGTCTGTATAATCAGCTAACCTGAAAAACTGAGCTGTTAATGGAAACTGGATGATTACGTGTTTGTTGTATGTCTCATGATGTGTCTCTTAGTTTCCAACTCTACTCTTTTTACAATTTCAGCACTGAATTACACCCGATATGTAGCATATCTCAGGCCAAGCAAGACCTTGATGAGCAGCCTGGTGATAAGATACATAGACGATCTGCAGCTGAAGATTATATTTCTAACTACGGCATAGGATTTGACCCAGCAGAGCATGAATTTGACTATGGTTTATGCAATGAAGTAGTTAATGTAGCTTGCTCACCTAAACCTGATGCTTTCAATCCATGTGAAGATATCATGGGATACGACATTCTGAGAGTCCTGATATGGTTTATCAACATTTTAGCTATCACTGGGAACATTGTTGTCCTCGTTATTTTAATAAGCAGTCAATACAAACTCACCGTACCTCGCTTTCTAATGTGCAATCTTGCATTTGCAGACCTCTGCATCGGTATCTATCTGTTATTTATTGCATCTGTAGATATCCAGACCAAAAGCCAGTACTACAACTATGCCATTGACTGGCAAACTGGGGCAGGATGCAATGCTGCAGGATTTTTTACAGTGTTTGCAAGTGAACTCTCTGTCTACACACTGACTGTGATAACTCTGGAAAGGTGGCACACCATCACCTATGCCATGCAACTGGACCGCAAGGTTCGATTTCATCATGCTGTGATTATAATGATTTTTGGCTGGATGTTTGCTTTCACCGTGGCACTTCTTCCCATATTTGGAGTCAGCAGCTACATGAAGGTCAGCATCTGTTTGCCCATGGATATTGAAACACCATTTTCTCAGGCTTATGTTATATTTCTTTTAGTGTTGAATGTACTCGCATTTATGATTATATGTGCCTGCTACATCTGCATCTACTTTACTGTGAGAAACCCTAATGTCATCTCTTCAAACAGTGACACCAAGATTGCCAAGCGGATGGCCATACTGATTTTCACAGACTTCCTCTGCATGGCACCAATATCCTTTTTTGCAATATCAGCCTCACTCAAGGTTCCCCTCATCACAGTGTCCAAATCCAAGATCCTTCTGGTTTTGTTTTACCCCATCAATTCCTGTGCCAACCCTTTCCTCTATGCCATTTTCACAAAGACCTTCCGCAGGGATTTCTTCATTCTGTTGAGCAAGTTTGGTTGCTGTGAAATGCAAGCCCAGATTTACAGAACAGAGACCTCCTCATCTGCTCATAATTTCCACACGAGAAATGGCCATTGCTCTCCTGCATCAAAAAATAGTGATGGGGCTTTTTATTCATTGGTTCCTCTGAATCATTTGAACTGAAACGCTTGCATGAATTTGTGTCTGAGGCAGTGTGATAATCATGTTCAACTGTGAATTTGAATAATTAATTCAGCATAGCATGTAAACTTATATTTATGAGAAAAAAAAATTATTTCCACTTTGATATTTTTGTTCAATGAACAACCATCAGAGATGACACATGATCTTCATCAGTTCTTGAAGAATAAGAAAAAAACTTCAGTATGTGCCAAAGTGTTCTTGTAGAATTGTCTCAAGAAATAAATTAGATGATAAACTGGTATCTCTCACTATACAGGCAGAGATTCTCTTCATTCTAGGAAGATGTTAGCTGCTTATTGAGAATTAAATAGCGGTTATATATGGTTGAAAGAAAAAAATATGTAGAATTAATTTTTTTGCCTCTGAAGCATGTTATAACAATGACAGATAATTAGGTCTTTTCATTAATCATATCTCATGGGGTTATAGAAGACAGAAGGCCAATTTAAAGCCCTCCTTCAGCACAGACTTACTAGGAATGAGAATATCTTGTGTTGTTTCCATTTCTGCTGACAATAACAGGGGGGCAGGAGGCATCTCTAGCTATGCTGATGTTTGCTGTTCCACACTGCATGGACCTGACTTACTCTGCACAGAAATGTTGCTCTGGGGAGGATTTTATGTTAGTCTAGATCAGCAGGCTCAGAGAACCAGATTTCATCTGAGTTTGGATCAAGGAGTTTGGTTTGGGGTTTGCTTTCAAGGTGAGAAAGAGCAAGAATGAGAGCAGGAGAAACCCTTCATAATAAGGGGGACGTTTTCTCAACTTGGTCTCAAAAAGTTAGGTTAAAATCACTTTTGTGTGGCTGGGCCCGTTGGGTATGACAAAATGGGCCAATGGACTGCTCTAATGTGATATCTGAGGCAGGTTTGCCAGACAGCAGTATTAGTGCATTACACTGTCTGGGCTATGTAAAGGATGATGGATACAGATATGGCTTTTGAAAACATGAACAAATATTTCTGTGAAATCACAAAAGTTCTCTTTCCCCTTCCCTTCCTTCATGTGCACATTTTCAGACAATGGTCCAAATTGAAAGACCTGAAAGAAACCACACGCTGTATATGTTGCAATAGCAAAAAAGAAAAAAACCTCTTAAGATTTCTTGATTTTACAGGGGTTTTGAATAACATCTCAATGAACATACAGACCTTTTACAAGACTTTAATATAGAACTTTTTGAGGGTTAATCATTCCAAATCACATCGCAGATTTAGGGTTGGATAAGATGTTCTCATGCTGATTGTGTGTCTGTGTGGGAGTATGTGGGCATAAAGAAAACAGCAGGACAGGAGTCTGGGCTTCATTCCCACCTCACAAACAATTCACGGTTTTGCCCCATGAGATTATAAATCTTTGGAGTTTTCATGGTTAAATGTGGTGTGCTTTGAATATTTCCTGCCTACAACTCCTAAAATTTCAGTAGCAATTCTTGATACTTCTAACCATAATTTCCCTTGTCATCAGTTTCACATTTCAGCATCTGAACCTGATGTGAATAACTGCAGGAGATAATTATTCATTCAGTCCTAGCTAGGGAATGAAGCATCAGCTCCCTAGTGCATAAAACAGGGGAGATCAAAGACAGTGTGTTTTGTGGGGGGAAATTTCATTACTCAATACAAGTAACACTCCCTCCAAGATCCAGGAGAAGGAAGAATGAAAGAGCAAAACTGGAAAGACAGTTCATCTCTGGGAAGCTCTTCTGACTACTCAGAGCAACCATTTATTCACAAATGCTTTATGCCATATACAGTGTACTGGTGTGCAGCCATTAAAACTCATCCTGATGGAAGTATCTGAATGATAATGTTCCAAAATGACAAACATTCTAGTTGCACTTAAAAAAGGCTTCTGAATCTTGAATTTGGGGCCAAAAATGAGGGGTGTTCTTTGTCAAATACTAGCCCATTTTTGTTGCTAAATAGGGCAAATTCTTGTAGTAAGTCACTTTTTTTTTTTTTTTTGCCTGTGCTCTGACCATTTGCAAAGGCAATAGGATGAGACCTGGAAGTTCAGGAAAGCACAGACATAGTCTAGAAGCCAGTCTTGTAAATCCTTTCACAGCTATGCCAGGCACATGATGTACAGCTCATCTACTTTATGCAAAACCAGCGCACAGATATTTTCAGAATCAGAACCCAGTTGAATATGCTTTACAAATAAACAGCCCTGAAAAGAGACCTTGCAAGGTTATGTCTTGTAGCCAGAGTCAATCCAGGCCCAAGGGATGAAGCCATCTAGCCCATAGCTCTTCCTCCAGAGGAGACATGGGATGGCACCTGAAGAGCAAGTAGAGCCTGCCTAGCTGGACCCCTAGCAGGAGGACAGCAGAGAGGTGCTTGAGGCATGTGTCATCCTGCTCACACGTCAGGTCATCCTCCTCACTCAGGAGGTCAGGTGGCAGCTCAGGCTGTCGCAGCAGATCCAAAACTGTGAGGGTGACCGTGTGGTTTCCAAGACAAAAATCTCTTCTTTATAGTCCTCACTGCTCCTGGGCTTTCACTATTCTTTGGATTTTAATTTTAAGCATCTTCCAAATTGTAAGGGGCATGGTAGGACCTGTATCTTTCCCTGTGTGGGACATTGGCCTCCTTATAACAATTTTTTAAAGCAATGGTTTTTCTTTGAAAAAGGCAGTATGAGAAAAAAAAAAAAAAAAAAAAAAAAAAGCAAGATACATTTTATTCATGCTTGTAATGTAAAAAAAGCCTGCTGGTGTCTGCTGTGGATTTTCTCAGCACTGAACAACATGTTTATGTGTGTAATCTTTAAACTATTTTACATTTTCCTTTCTGAAATCTATTTTAATAAAACCAATATCAAAACAAAGTGCCTTGAGAACAAGTGTATAGCCAGAGATATGCTGACGAAGTATGCAATAAATGTTACTGCTTATCTGGAAAGCTCCATTTATGCGGCACAGCCTCCACAGTCAGGTCACAGTGACCTACAGATGAAACTCGGCTGATGAGAGACTCTGCAAAGAAAACCCGCCTGTATTCTCCTGGAGAGATAACAAAGCGCAGAAAGGTATGTTTGAAACCTCCGAAACAAATAACAGTAACACTGACCTGTCTTTGTTTTAACCAATCTCTTCTACTAATTCATATTTCTTATGAAATAAGATATAAACCATTGACAGAACTTTGACAGGCATTTTTCTCCTTTTTAATATATGTATAAATGGCTCTTCTTATGTGATGCACTCTAATTGTCTTTTTTATAGCTAGGGCTGGGAGCTCTGTTTCATTGAGTCTTCTGTTCAGAGAAATAAGTGTGTGTCTGTGTGCACACATGTGTGTGCATGCCTGTAGAAGAGACAGGCCAAAGGTCCCAAGGAAACTGAGTCAAAGCCTAGCTCTGACTCATAGGAAAAACCCTGGAGTTGTTCTAACTTGCAGCCCATTGTTAGCTCACTCCATAGACCATCTGACAGTGGGCAATATTGTAATACCTTCTGGTTTTCCTCCGTACTGTTACGTGGCCCTTGCAGTTCAGTCTCCAGCAAGCCCCAGAAAATTCCCAGCCAGAGTTAGACTGTCTTTGCCGCTATGGTGCCGTCATCAGAGTGACATAAAGAAATTGTGCTGGCAGTGAGGACACAATAAACAACTTTTTCATCTGCTTGAAGCATCATTGCTTCAGGCACATACTTTGTGGGGAACCCATACCTGACCTTCCCAACAACCATGTATCATCTGGTGGTGTGATGGAAAGTGAGATATGAGGTCACTTCGGCTTGGAGGACTAAAGGCCACATCATGAAAATTGCCACCACAGGTAAAGTTAATGCGAGCAGCTGGTCAAAAGCATCGATAAAAGCAAAAAACTGACTCAGTAGAGAAAATGAACCATGAGCCATTTTCTTTACAGCATTGCTCTGGGGGTTGCACAGATATGCCAAGCAGGGTTTGCTCATTAGAAGGCAGGTCTACATTTGAGCTTGTTAAGAATGCAAGATGAGGCTTTGCATCCCATTTAGCAAGTCTTCAAATCATTTGACCACATTTCTTTCCTGTAGATTCCTTCCTAATCATTCCACTGAGGACACAGCAGATAATTTTACATTTAATTTATGCAGCTTTGTTGTTAAGAAGAGTTAATAATGTGAAATGATTTATCCTCGAGGAATAATTTAATGATCCCTCCCCCCTCCCTAAATGAAATAACAGAAAGGAAAGGTGGGTCTAGTTCAAACGGTCAAGTAAACACATACAAACCTCCCCACAGATTTGCATCTTTAATCTGGGCATGTGTAAACTCCCATTGTGTATGCAAATGTGAATTGCATGTACACCCTCTTCTTCAGAGTGAGTTTTTGGTCTAAGTACTTGGTTAGAAGCACGTATTTGAAAATCTGGGCCTTGTTACTTTAAAATATTCAAGCACAGGAGTAGAATTTTATAGCTGTCATCTGGATAATTAAACTCTTCATTAACAGTTGTTCTCGAACCAGTAGGTGACCTTTAATTAGGGATGAAAGTACTCAGGAATGGATTTCAAGCATTAAGAAACTGCAGAGGACACTTTGCTCCCCCACCACCACCTGCCCAAATCCATTGAAAACCTTTTGTAAAGCATTGGTTTTCCAAGAGAAATGATGCTGGGTGAGACAAAGTTGTTTCCAGGTCCAACACATCAGATGAATGCTTCACTTAACCTTGTTGTAACTAAAACACTATATTTTCTTTTTTCTGTCTCATGAACATTTTGCCATGTGTTACCTGGATCTTTGTTACCCCAGCCTGGATACCTGCACCAAGTTCTACCCACACTGAAAAAGAACAGAAAAAATTAGCAAGATCACAATGAGAGCAGTGCACAGATGGGAATGTGCTGTATTTATAAGCAGGTGGAAGATTGTAGGGTAAGCTTGAGCAATATGGGCTTTTCTGTTGGGTCCTCTGAATATCCAGTGCTAGAATTCTGCATTAAAGGGACTATTTTGGCTGAAGGATAGTTCCCAGGGAGAAATCAATAGGAATCTGTATGGGAAAATCCTATGGAGAGATAAACTTAAAAGGAACTTTAAGGCATGGGATTTTATTTAATTGTTAAAGAAAAAAAAGCAAAATCTTGATATAAATAATGTGCATATGCTGTCTCCAGAACAAGGGATAGCAGCTCCTTTAGGGGCCATCCAGGCTCTACACTGTACCATCGTCTGTCACCTTTGCATTGCAATTCTGTGTTTTGCTTGTGGGCTGCAAATGCCTAATTAACTTTAAATGCTCCCATTTTCTTTGTCTTTTCTTGTTTATGCTGCTTGGACAGGCATATGCCCCTTAGATGTCTGTACTCCTGCTTCTTCATCGCCTCAGCTTTACCCAACTTGGTCCTTTCCATGAAGATGGTTCATGCTGCCTCTGCTTAGAAGTGCTCTGCTTTTACCTACAGTCATATATGAACAGAATCCATATCCATTAGAAATATTTCCTCAGATATCAGCAGCTGGAAGATCGTAAATCTGCTCATTGCTCTCTGTGTATGGGGGCTGCACATGGTTTCTTACTCTGCCTTCAAGTTTCTATCTCCCCTTTTGGTTATTTGAATGACTGCTGTGAGTGTAACTGGCCTTTTCCTAAGCCTAAAACATTCTGCTTTGAAACAGTCACTGCTTGAGCCAGCCGACTTTGATAAAACAGGGTGAAACACACAGATCCCTGCTTCTGCACATTCCTAGGACTTTGTTGGGGGGGAAAAAAGTTATTTTTATGTAGGTGATTCAGATTTTTCCTTCCTCACATTGCCAGCTGCACTTTTGCCTTGTCCCACAGATGTTATGATGGCATAAGGAACCCCTAAGTGCCTTGGAGGAAGGCTGGGTAAGGAGGAGAGAGGAAACAGAGTCTGGATAAAGTGGGGCCATCAAAAGTTAGAAAAGCACAGCCAAATTAAGGCAGCTTTTAAATGACCCCCACATGCTCCAAGGACTGCCTGAGCCCATGTCAAGGAGAAGTCCAAAGCCTTTCTCTCTTTTTCATTCCTGCACCAAGGTCTGTACTAAGACAGGATTCACTCTACCTAGGGTCTCTACATATGCCTATACAGCATGAGGCCATGTAAAAATACAAAGTTATCAAGGGCATCAGAAACAGTGGGTTTGTACCTGTGCTAATATACATTGCTTCTTAGCAGATCTAACTTGCCTGGACTACACAAAAATTGAGTTGAACTAGACATCTCTCTAGAAGTGCCATTTCCATGGCAGTGCATTTTCAAACATGTTAAATGAACAGAAGTTTGGGTTTTTTTCCCAGCAATTTCAGCTTCTCCTGCTACCCAGCATTACCTTTCTCCTGGACTACTTGTTCTCTCTTCCTTCAACAACGACTGCTGCCCACACCACTGCTTTTAGTATCAGTTTTCCTTTCTCCCATGGACGATGGCATCTTTGCGCGTGGTTCTGCCAGAGTCACAACTGAAACACTCATTAGTCACCAAAAAAACTTTCAAGGCGTTGGTAGTCTATTTTTTCACATAAAGGTGTTGTTTACCTCATGGTAACACTCTGCCTACAGAATATTTTTCCATGCACTTAACACCATTGTAACTAGTGCTCAGCTACAGTGCCTGTCCTACAGCATACCGTTAATGAAGGCACCATCTTGGTAGTGCCTTTGGTTTCAGTTTTACTGTCCCTCATGTGCCTCTGTTAGCCAGACAAGTGTCACTGTCCTCAGATCCTCAAAAGAGCCTTCCCATTTTGACTGCCCTGCTTGTTGGTGCTAGTCCTGTTTTGATGTTCACCAGTGCCAGAAGAGATCTGCTTTTGTCCATAAGGAGGGCCATCTGTGAAGTCATGAGAAACTGAGGAGGAAACAGGCGACCTGTGTTCAGAACAGCTTTGTCATTGCTCAAAGACCTCAAAGTGCACTTGAAGGGCAGCCAAATCACACCATATGTAATTTGGCCTCTCTCCTCTTTGCTTTAGGTTTTATGGAGGTTTACCTCCACATATCATATAGCATCACAGGGCAGCATCACCATTGCTAAACTGTCTCTCAGAACTCATGGTGTCGGAGCCACAATCTGTAAGGCACCATGGGACTTCTCCTTTGAAACATGATTGCATGCATTTGTCACCACAAGTAAAAAAAGGTCACTAACAGTTAACTAGTTAGGTAATCAGGCAACTAATTATGCTACTAATTAGGTCTGACCTAATTTCTGGAATATAACTATCCAGGAATCCTTTAGTTCGTTTCCTCTTTAAGAATAATCCATTAACAAATACATTTATTTTATTTCTGTGAAGGGTCCCTTGTGAGTCACAGACCAAGTGGCTTCTGGTTACTTCTTTCATAATTAAAGATCCCGTGTCACTTTTTCAAAAGGTGAGAGACAACACCAGTACGCTGTCTGGCGTCCTCTTGTCGAGCAGACGCAGATGGCGATGCCTGAGGCTGTAAGCGAGCTGAGGCTGTTTGCATAATGCACGCTTCCTTTGCTCATCGAGTTATTGCTATCTCCACACTTTCCTCATTTGCAGAGTTTGCAAAGCAGTTAACAATTGCAGGTAGACAATAGTGAAGAACATAGGCAGAGATTTTCAGAAGCACCTAAGGAAGTAAGTAGCCAAGATTCATGGACATTCATGGGGAGACTTCTTTTGAAGACTTGAGTTTTTAGCTACCCTTTAGTCTCAGAAAACTATTTGGGGGAAGGGGTTATGGTTTTGTATAAGATATCTGCCATACTTTAATTAATAATTACTTACAGAAAGGCTAGTCTCCAGAAGTACCTATCTTATCCTCATGTTTTTCTCCCCCTCCCAAAAGATCACAAGAATTAGAAGGCTTTTGAGGGATAGACTGGAGACACACTCACTGCTAGTGGAGTGAGGAGAATCATAAAAGAGGGAGGGAGGGGAGGGAGGGAGGGAGGGGAGGGAGGGAGGGAGGGAGGGAGGGAGGGAGGGAGGGAGGGAGGGAGGGAGGGAGGGAGGGAGGGAGGGAGGGAGAGATAATGTCCAGGGAAACAAGATGCACTTAACAAGAGCTTTTGCCATATGTCAGAAGTAGAGCAATTTTCTTAAAGCTGCACCCAGAAATCAGATGATACTGGGGCAAAATCTTCCATGTCCTGTGCTGTTAAGCCAGCAAAGAGATCTCTGTCTGAGGAGAGAGTGCTAGTGAGGCTTTCAAAGGCTTTTTCCCTTTTTTAATGTTGGCAAACTCTGAAGAAACACTGTAGAGGAAAAAGGGAGGGGGAAGACAAGGAGAATGAGATTTCTTTTACTTAAAATAAGACTATACAAATAATTCTTATGAGGGGAGTGAAAAGATTTGCACTGAGGAGGCTTATAAAAAAACGATGTTTAATTTTTCTAAGCTGGGCCTCCTGCGAACAATGCTCTGCACTGAGACTAATATTCATCCCTGTTCAGAGAACCAGCACAAGGACTATTTTCACAATAAATGACCTTTAAAGTGGGACTGACATGATGTGTAAGTTTTGTGCTGGCCTTCTGTACTTCAGCGAATTGCATGTTGAGGAGGGAACGCTTGTCTTTCTCCTATGAAAAATTGCCCACACCTGTCCCACTGCCCCCTGCCACTCCTAACACACATTTGTTTATATGCCCTTTTGGCTCCAAGGCTCTGCATCACAAAATAACACCAGAGCAACATGTTATTTAAAAAAAAGCATGGCAAAATTCTTCCCCCAAAAATACGTGACTCCTGCCTATTAATTGGGATCAGGACAGTATTTTTTTGTGTTGAAAGTCCCAGAAAAGGAGGCAAAAAGGCATCAGGAGCACCTGAGCTCCTGTCTGCTCTAGCTGCATGGAAGAAAACATAGGGAAGAAAGCCTGGGCAAAGTAGAGGTGTGTTAGAGTTGGGTGTCTCAGCTCCCAGCCTCTCCAAGCAAACACCCTCCCCTCTGCAGAGGGTGCCTGTAATGAGCATCCTATTTGCCCCTCTCATGGTTTTCCTATGCCTGCACAGAGTACTAATGTCTCCCCTAACAACAGATTAAACTCTCTTCCCACCTCATGTCTGTGCCACGACAGGCATGCTGGGACCCCAGTCCTTGCTGCTCCCAGGGCAATAATGTCAAAATCAACAATCACGGCAGTGTCTGCGGACTGACTCGGAGGTCATCGGGGCTGCACAGCCTGACAAACTTACACATGTATATGCAAGGCGTGCTTTCCCCAGGCAGCACGTAAAGCGCTGCAAAACGAGAGCAAGCCCTTGGTGCTTTTTCAGAATCGCTTTTGATCATGCGCCACATTGGAGTAACTTGCAGAGAAAAACACGTGAAATAGTTGAGCGTATATTGTCCCACCTACTGTGCGGGCATTAAAGAAAAACAGATAGCGGGGGCTGCATGGAGGAGATCAGACAGCGGGCTGGGGAGTCCCTGCCCTCCCCTCCATTTCACAGAGGTCTTTCGTTCTAGTGCAAAGTCTTTTTATGCAAATGTGCATGATGAGCAAGGGAGAAAGAATGGAGCTGGGGAAATAAACATGTTGTGCCTTGCTACTGCATTGTTCTTCCTACTTGTTAATAGCCAGGACACGAAAATAAGATGGTGCTTGAACACCATTAACTACTCAACGGCGTCATCTGTGGGCTCTGCGGGAGCAAGCTGAGCCTGACAGATACTCAAGGGCTAGACCTGGTTTTTTGGGAGGTGGGAAAGCTAGGCCTTCTGCTTCCCCCTGGCCCCAGACTACATATTCCCTACATGTAAAAAATTAAAAACTAAAGCATCCACTTGTTCAGAGCAGGAGAAAGCAACCAGTCCTGCCAGTTAAAAGGACCGGGCAGCACTTGCAGTGCCTATGGCTCTGCCATCATTACAGCTCCTTGTCATGCTTCCTTCCCTATTCACCAAACTGCACCACATTTCTCTTCTGTAATTCAGTCCCATGTTCTCCTCCACCACCTCTCAAGGCATACGTGTTCCCTTTCTCTCTTTTTGATTAAGTGCTTCTTTGTTTCTGCCCTTTCCCTCCCTGTTACAGTTCTTTGAACTAACCTAGCTGTTTCAGTTCTCATGGGAATATCCTGCACTCCTCAAGCACACAAACAACTTAGAGGGGAGATCTGAGGAGCTCAAGAGGCTGATGGGTGGCACAATTTTTTGAGAGATTTAGAAGAAGAAATGGAAGGAGAAGCCTTGGCCAAGCCCAGAGGATCCCTGAGAGCATCCGTGTCCTGATTTGGTGTGGACTTTTGCCACCACATACTAAACCCTTCAGAAGACCTAGGTTTAGGATAGATTGAGATGGAGAGGTAGAGATGCTAGCAATTATGAAAACTGATTGTCACATCATTTACAGGACATTGGCTGACATTTGCCAGCTAATAAGAGCAATAGCAGAGTAAAGAAAGCTGCTGTGCTTTAAAAGCCTTGCCAGGGGAAAAAAAAAAAAAAAAAAAAAAATAAATAAATTAAAAAGCAGCACTGCTAAGCAGCCTCCAGCCACAAAATCAGGCTGGTCGGATGCTCATGTCCCACACTCTGCAGGCAGCCCAGCCAAGCTTCTAGCACCAAGCAGCCACTCCAGAAAGCAGAAATGCTAATTGCTGGGCAATTGCTATGAACATGCTTTTTTTTTTTCCCCTCTTCACATTCCCTAGCTCTTTGCACATTTTCTCTCCGCCTGGTAAGCCCTGCAGGCAGAGAGGAAGGGTGCAGTATCCACAGATGGGGACCAGGCGGTGGACTGTCCCTGATGCTCCCTGGCTCTTCCCAGCTGGGCTTGGTGAAGCCAGAGGACAGGGCAAGATTGTGCACTGCAACCACACGCTCCCAGCACTGGGATTTTCTGACCACCTGCTATTTTTGTACTTGTGATGCTTCGTCACAGTTTCCTAGGCATTCCCTTTAACTCACAGTTGCATAGAATACCCAGTCTCAACCCATCCATGTTAATAATTCAGAAGCTTCCCTTTCCTCTTAAAGTAGAAAGCAGCTGTCCTGGATTTCTACAGCATCCAGTGCTTAGCATATGAATGGGATGGCATTAGCTACCACTGGTGCTCAATAGCTGTTTCTGTCATATTATCCAGCATTATTTATAACCTGATTGCTCTGCTTTCTAGACTCAACCCATGCCTCTGACAGGAATGGACTTCAGGCTTTCTTCCTGGAGCAGTGAGTATTGCTTTCTCCTTTCTCACACCTGCAGCCTCACCAAGTTTTTCTGAACAGCTCAGTTAACCCTTTCTCTTGCTATGACTGAGTGGGAAGAAACTGATATCCTCTTCCTCCAAACTTCTTCCCTTAGACCAAAATTATTCCTTCCACAGCTTTTTCTGGTTTATCTAGTAGAAGACTGTGAGATTTTAGTGTAACATAATGAAAATGTGTACATGGTACTAAAAAAAGGAATGGGACTGACGTTGCTTTCAGTTTAGACAGCAATAGTCTTCACATTGCAACACACACTCTATAACTTCAGTCAATCTTCTCCTGACATCTGAGACATTTTGAGCAAATAGTATAAATTTTTCTGCAGAGGTTTAAGGTCCTGAGACATTAGAGATTGTTGTGAAGTAAAACCTAGTGCATTATACACCTGCTCAGACCAGAGATCCTTTTTGACCTCTGATTTATTTTTCCTTCTTGGAAAGTAAAGTACCATGGATCTGCAGGGAGTTTTTTGTTTACTAGCCAGTTCAATTTGAAAAATTACTATGGATTAGCAAATCCCATGATTTCACACTTCAGGGGAACGTGTTCATTATGCCAGAGAACTTCTGATCCCTCACAAAGCTTTTAGGTACAGCATTTAAAAAAAAAAACAAAACAAAACAAAACAACAAAAAACAACACACACACACACACACAAAAAAAAAAAAAAAAAACACAACAAACAACAGCAACAGCAACAACAAAAAAATCCCTTTTCCATAGTAGTGCCTATGTGTTGGCTGTTGTTGGGACACTGTGGGGTGCCTCTTGTCCTCCACATAGGTCCTCAGGGACGCCAGCACTCCTGGCACACATATACCATCTGGAAACACTCACTCACCTCTCTGCTTCCCTAACATCTTTCATCAGATTTGGGCTATCACATCCCAGAGGAATTTATCATGATGGGCTTTCACAGCAGTTACTTTGTGCTAGTGAAATAATAAAAATACTAATAAATTCTGGTCTTGCTTTGTGGCAATACAATAGGCTTCTATGCTGGAGGCTCACGCTCAGAGAATGACCTGGAAACCAGGTCTGAGCAGCAGGAGCTGACAGAAGTTTCTGAGCAACTGAAAACTTTTGAACTGTCTTGAAATCAGACGTTTTACCTATGGGAATACAGCAGATCTTGTGGCCAGGGAAGCTGGCATACAAATGACAAGCATGTTCCACGGTAACGTCAGGCTCTTGAGACAATCCGTGCATAAACAGCAGAGGTGTACAGTCCCAAAGGGGTGGGTGAGCAGCACCCCGAAGGGCATGTCCAATGTGCATTGAAACATCAGGGTGCGTGGACAGCTTACCCATGCTATGGTCTACAGAAAACATACCACTGTGTGCTAATGAGAGTGTTTCAAGCTGCTGAACATCAAGGGACATTTTGCCTTATCGGTGATGTCTGTTGCCCAGAGAGACACTGATGTTTCCAGCCCATGTCTTGTGCACCTCAGGTTTGCAAGATGGTACAAAGGGGCACCCTCCACTGTGATGCAACCCCCTTCATCACTGGGAAATGTCCAAAATGCCCCACAGAGGGCACAAACTGCGAGGGACAGCAGCTCCCTCCTCCTGCAGCTTCTGGCTCAGGAGAGAGATGTGGAGCCAGGGGCGAGACGAATGAGCCACATGAGACAGGGCCATCACAGGGAGCCAGGGCCACAATGCCTCAGTTCACAGTACACTTCTGGGGGGAGGTTTTACCTGGATCGGCCACCAGTCCCAGATGGCAAACAGTGGGCAAAGCAGCCTCCAGCACAGCGCTATCTCTTGTCTGCTTCCCCCAACCAAGGTCAGTCTGTGCCAGGGAGTCTCCTCCTCAACGCTGCGGCGCCTGAAAAATGAGTTACTCCGAGACTGACACCGCAACATGCTCCCACACACAGCTGCAGAGTGAGTTATTTAACTGCATTGATATAGATATTATTGAAGTACAGACTGCAACGCCTGTTTTCTTTCTGAAGTGAAAAAAAGGAGCATTACATCATGTCTATACTGAGAGATACTTCCTTAAGGACAACAGCAGAAAGCTTATCTGCAAAGTTGCTGACAGGTAGGGACAGTAGAGACTGGCTCCTTCCATCCTGGTGCCTGTGACCCTCATTCATGTTGGTCCTTTGCTCCCCACCCATCGGACATAATTCATTAGAGGATGGGGTGTGTGAGGGAAGTCTTGTGGTGCCTCCATCTCCACTGTTGCCAGTGCAGCAATCACACCTTGTACCACAGAAATTTTCAGAATTGTCAGGAGTTCAGCGTGATGGAGACATCATGTCCCAACTGCGTAAAAGCACTGAGGTGCCCAGCATCTCCTGGGGATATGAGCACAGAAAAGGACTATGAGGCTTCTCACAGTACACATTCAAGTTTTTCATGGGAGGGTGAGAGGAGGCCTCAGGGGATGCTCACACGCCTGGCCCTGACCCATGGCCAGCCCTGCTCACCCATTGGATTGACCTCAGCATAAACAGGTGATACTAAGTTTTTCTCATCTACAAGCACAGTGATCAAATTTTTCTGTTTTCTCTCTACCAAACATCATCTGAAAGGTGCATAGGAAAAAAAAAAAAAGCTGCAGCTGGGCTGAGTCAGATCACTGACCATGACTGGGGTTGTTTCTCCTGTGCTATGTAAAAGATCTCCGGATTTCATTTCTACTATCCATGCTGTTGAAGCTGACAGGAGTTAGCATGCATTTAATACCAGGTGAAAAGTTGGAGACAGCACTGCATACATGAGTGAACCCTTATAGGAGTCTGACAGAAGAGATTTGTCCACAGCAAAAAGGTAGACATTTGTCTTGATATATCTTCTGTCACCTACTGCTGCAAATATGTCATTTTGTTGCTCTTTCTCCTCCCTCTCAAATAAGCATTTCATCTAGGAGGAAATTCAGAAAAACAGATTAGTTTATTTCCAGCCCTATAATAGATGCACATTCACTTCTTTCTGTGTGCATTGGTAAAGATATACAGTATGTTTTCAAGGGTTTTTTTTAATGCATTTCCATATTTTTCTATTTGTGAGGCAAAAGACTAATTATATCAATAAAAACCCAATGATATGTGTTGGAGTGTCAAGTCTGATATACTGGGGCAATGACTCCTGTATAGGGGCTGGCTCTTTGAGGCTCTCAGTGTCTCTTACAAAATGCTCTACAGCTTAATTTCCTCCTCAGGAGGAAGAAGATCTCAGAGTTGCCTTGGGAGGACCAAGGAAATAACTATTTTCCATATGCCCTTGGACAAAAGTTGGTGCCCAGGTTATGAGTTTTGCACACAGACAGTTTAAAAGGCCTACAGTGGTAGTGCTCACTGAAGATTTATCCTTGACTGATTTAATGATATCAGATACCACATGGTGATTACACTGAGAAATTTGTATTAAATCTTCTTTAATAAGAAAACAAGTTTATATTTTGAAAAAGTAATAATCAAAAGACTAGCATTTCTGAATTGCTAACTGTACCACTCTTAACTAGTAAAATGCCAAGAATTTGTGTGTCATATACTGGCCTAGCATGTTCACACTTTATTTATGAATGATAATGATATTAAGAGATGCTTTCTTTGAAAAATTTGAGAAAAGTCTGAAAATTAAACCAGCAGCAGCAAAACCCCCACAAAATGAAACTTTAAACACCATCATGTTCCCAGAGTTATTCTTGGAAAGGTTGTCATATTTGTGTGAAATCTCAGGGAGGGAATGTATGCAAGCATTCTGCTCAGCATGAACCCCAAACACCCACCACACTGCTAGATTAAATGTAATAATATGTTCCAAAAGGGAGATACACTGCAAAGCAAATTACACAACCCTTCAGTGCGTTTTGACACCCAGAAGGGAAAGGTGCCATGGGAATGGGGTTTTTTTCCGCCAAACACACCAGATCCACAACAGTGAACCATAAGACTCCAAGAAAAATGTTCAGCCAGGCTGCCAGCAGCAGAAAAATATGACCACAGAAGGGAGAAGTCAGTCTCTGAGGAAGAAGAGGCTCTCCATGGACTGGTTGCTCCCATCAGAGCTGTAGCTATTGTCGCCAGGACTGTGAGAACAGGCCCTGCCCTGTGAAATATTTACTTCTTCTTAAAAGCAGTGTTATTGAACATACTTGTTTGTTGAGGAATTAAATTAATTTTTTGTGTAATAGAATAATCTGGATGCAAAATGGAACTACTGCAGTTTGCTGACTTTTCTTTGGTAGACTGGAGACTCATTCCAGTGGGAGTACTTGAATTTTGTTAAATAATGAGAAAAGGAGTATCTGTAACATAAAGTGTGCTTTGTTCGTGTGATCTTAGCATATATGGTTTTATTCCTTAGTATTTCCTTCCTGTCATTGATCTTGTAAGAGTAATGAAGTCTTGAAAGTAAAGGACCTCACATCCTCTGTCACTGAAGCTTTCATGATGTATGTGGTTTATCATACAAACACACAGAGTATTGCACTAGCAACATGATCAGAGCAGGGGGTTAATCTTAACATACAAAGCAAAAAAACTGTGCAAGTCAGTGCCTAAATCACAGCGTAAATTGGGCCAAACCAATCCAGTTCTCCATCAGGTATACACATAGTGCTTTCCAGGTTGTTAGAAGGCTATATTCTTCCCAGGGATAGCTCAAGGCTCCTCAGTTGTTTTGTTGCCTCAAGGATGAGGACAAAAATAACTAATGCAGGCACAAAGCATTATCGCAGTGAGAGCCGTCCAGCTCCACCCAGCACTGTTATCGCCTGGGTAAACCAACCTCAACCGATTTTGGAAAAATTCTTTATCATCTGCTTGATTGGAGGGTCACAGGAAGAATTAGTCTTTTTTTTAAAAATATTGCAACACATTACATATTACATTTCTTTTAGAATCTGAAGTGACTGGACTGCCTTTACTGGAACAGACGCTCTATGGCATCTAATCTTGTATTAACTAATTGTCAGTGTGTCCATTCCTATAGGCAGGTTGTGGAACTGTGTTTTACAGATCTGGGAAGCCTTTTACATTCAGTTCACTGGGAGTCTAAAAATCACAAGGAAATAAAGAATCTGGTACATAACAAATATTTAACAGGGACTGGCATCGAGACTATTTCTACCAGCTCCCACATGTGAGCTCAGGCAAATGAATGCCCAGAATACTTGCCATGTGGCTTTTATTAATGATCTTGAAACAAATCAATGAGATTCTGACACCAGAAATTTGTGCTGCTCTGGAGGCAGCTAAATTATTCCATTTGCAATTTCTGCTGAAGATTTGCAGTCTCTAATAGACCTCAGAGAAAATCCTGCTGGAGCTGGTCAGGAACCAGAAGCCAGTTGAGTTTCACATGACTTCTGAGTTTGATGGAAAGTCTTTCTCACTGCCGGGCAGAAGGGAGTTGCTGAATTTAATTATTTCAAGCTACAATCATACAAAGAAAAAAAAAAAAAAATCAGCTATATTTGTCTTTGCTTCACAAGACAGGGAGAGAGAGAGGAAAAAAAAAAAAAAAGAAAGAAAGAAAACTACTTAATTTGGAACTATCGTGTAACTGTGCTAAAAGGGTTCATTAATGTTGTTAACTGAGTCTAAGTCAGTGTAAAGCCGAACGTTTTAAATGCGTGAATATATTCACCGCATCTGCATATGAGACCCAGTTGTTTATGGTGACCACCCTGTGAGGACAGATACTCACCCGAGCCAGGGCAGCATTAAGCTGCAAATCCTTCTCTCCCAGAGTGCACGTCTCAGTCTCCAGCAGAGATGCTCCACAGAGATGCTCTGCCAGCTCAGAGGCAAAGGCAGACACATTAATGATGTATTAGTGCACCAAAGACTGTTGTTCTAGGATTCAAAGCTGCACTCCAGTGATGTAGTGTAACCACAGGAGGTTTGTGCTGAATATTGAGGTTATGTGAGGATTTTTCTTTTAAAAGTAATCTCACTCTCAGTTTATTTTGCTTGTTTTCAGTGTTTTGTTGGATAGCTTGGGAAGTAATGGATTTATTTTTTTCTTCTCAATTTTGTGATTGATCTGAAAACTTATAAGAAATTTGTTTCAGGTCAAATCAGAGCATTTACACATTTACCTGAAAAATTACTTTAGAAAATATATATTCTGGGTGAAGTAAAAAAATTTAATATTTGACCCAAAAATCAAGTGCTTTGGATATAGTTTTCTGTTATATAGCCTGGTCTTATCTTTTAAAACAAAATTTGTATTAATTTTAAATGGGAAAATTACATCTTGTGGAAATAAATTTTAAAAATAAACCTTTTCACTTCAAAAATAGTTAATAAATTCAAATCAAACATTTAATTGGTTTTAGTTCTTCAAAACCATGGTTTTTTCAGTAAATTAATTGTCAGCTTTTTTTTTTTTTCCTTCTTCTTCCTTTGCTCAGTTGGTTATTGATTAACAGCAATAGTTAATTTCTGGTGCCAGAAAAAGGAAGAGGTTATAAAAATTGCTGTGATCTCTTTTGTAAACACAAAGCACAAGTCACCGATAATTCTAACAATCTCAAGTAAAACTACAAGTTAGCCCTGTCTTACACAGGGCAAACATGAGGCACAGATCCTTGAAATCACTTGCTGTGGTCATGCAGGGCCTCTAAGACTTATCATGTAGCACAGCCCAGGAGGAGTGGAGCTGTAGGGAGGAATGTCTGAAGACCAGAGGTCCATGATATTTGTGTGCAGTTCACAACACCCATATGGATAGTCCTTGGTATTTATTTATTTCTAGTCTGATCCCATAGAGCTGAACCCCCATTCACAGACAAGGTGTGTTAGGTGCATATCTCTAGTTTGCTCTGGAAAGACCATGTGGTCCCAGACTACCCCACAGTGGAAACCAAAAGTAGAGTGAGGAGGGACGGTCAGGAAATTCATTTCAAAACACACTCTGGTTCTGCTCAAAAATGCTAGTGCAGATACTACATTGCTTGTACCAAGGTTTCTGAAATGCTAATCTTGGCCCCATTTATATCATCTTCTCACTTCCAACTTGAAAGAGGTCTATTGTGAGATGGTTTGAGTGTTTCAGCAGTACTAGCCAAAAAATGTAAGTTCCAGAAGTAGTCGCAGTCACAGTCAGTCAACAGTTACTACTCATTGCCAGAAGATGTGGGCTGTCCTAATTCCATTTTTCAAATGTACAGTTTTCTTGGTGACATCACCATTGTCATCACTATTTATAAACAAATTTGAAACTGCATAGCAAGGAAAGAATTGCTTAAGTTAAGAATTACACTGGTACAAAACCAAATAGATACAAGTGAATCAATAACAAATTCAGACTGGAAATTGGAAAACTACTTCTGATTAACCAAAAAATGAAACTGTGAAGCAGTCTACATGCGAGATAGTGTGAGCTGGGACCTCCCATTGTTTTAAAACAAGGATGATTTATAGGAGGGGTTGTATAAAGAAGGGATTAAAACAGGATTTCTGTATCAGCCCTGAGACCTCCAATTTCTCAGTATCTGCAGAGCAGTGAGTTGATCAGAACTTACTTGTTAATAGTGCTTGTTCACACTTTATTTATTCTGCACTCTATGCATGCCTCAGTTATCTGAGAGTATTAGGACAGGGGACGTGGTGGGTTCTTTTGCTTTTTCTTCCTTTTTATACATATATAACATGGCTTCTGAAGGGCTGGGATTTTTCCACCTTCTTCTAAAGCACAAGAGCTTGTCCACAGAGGACAGTATAGTTTGTGCTCAGTGATATTAAACCCCACCAGGTGCCCAGCTGTTTCCCTCATTTCTTCAGGGTTAAACTCATCATCTGGTTTGGACTCAAAACCATTTTTCTCCAAATCAATTTGCGATGATCACTGTTTCCTGGCTGACTGCTTTTAGTTTCTTTGCTTTCCAGCTTTTTCTATTGCTTGGAACGGACTATTTCATGACAGTCCTGGCATTTTCTTCAACTAAAACCTTACTTTTGCAAGTCCTGGGACACTGTAAACGTCCCCAGCTGTCCTGTGGCACACTATATTTGGAGGTTTTGGTCTTTTACCACATTTCTTCAGTTTGCTTTGTAGCTGGTGAGGAAATGAATGGCACATCCAAGAGGTGTTCAGTGGTTCTTTATTATAAAGTGCCTAAAACGTTGTTGTCTGTGATGGGGAAGGACCAGTTGTGAAGACACAGCTGGTTCCTTGCAGTCCCACCTCCCCATCTGGCAGCACTGACTCACTACACACTATTTCAGGCTAAGCAAGCAATAAATGTAAGAGCCGAAGGAGATGCTGGGACAACCACTCATAGTTTTGACCTTGACTTTATGTGTGTGGTGAGTGGAGATGAAACCCAAGATCCAAACAGTACTGAATTCTGGCCAAAAGGAGCATCTGAGAGCTGAGTTGTGATAAAGTGCAGGGTCTTTTAATTTCTAGTTACACCTACAGTTTATTCTTTGTGCACCACTGCATAACATGTTTCTCCGGAAAGATGCTTGCACAATTTGAAGGCAAAGCCAATGAGGAGTACTGACTATGACGAATACTACAGGGTTATGCTACCTGAGCAAAAGGGACCTTCTCTTTACATTTCTCATGGATTTTGCCAGTGTTGGATAATGTCAAAGCATCACCAAGCACTTTGTGCACATGCATTATTCAAGACATGCACTTCTTTGTGGTAACTTTTACATGGATGAAGGAGGGACTGGTAAGATGTACTATGTAAACAATATGCAGAGAAATTATCAGTATGTACACAGCGATATGAGGCAATAAAGGTGCTACCAAAATTGATAGATATGCCTTAATAATGCATTTCCACTTTCCCGAGGGAGGAAGAACAGAATGGAACCGAGACTTTCCTGTGTTGGAGATGATACTTTGTAAGTTCATATTTCTTTTCAATCACTTTCTAGGAAAGGATTTTGCACCAAGAGTGTAATCTTCTCTTGAAGAACTCTCCTAGTGTGCTTCCCTTTATGAGCTGACATTAACTGTTATTAAAATACATATTTATTTACAAGGAATTGAAAACACTCTTGTTTCATTTGGCTTCTACAAGTATATGGTAATAGTAAATGTATCGGGTCACTGCGCTCTTTGCATGATATTATCTCCTTTTAGATTCTGCTTGCAAATACAGGAATAGATTATAGTAAAATATATTTTAATACACAGCAAAATGCAAAGTACTTCAAAATAAAATCATTCTTTTCCAACTGCTTTTTTTTTATGAGTTTTGCCTAAGGGTTTGATTTCATAAAAGCTAGCTGGGTGTTCTGCAGTTTTTGCCATCCAGAGACTTTTACTGCGGGAATGGAGATTGTAAAGGTGGTTTGAGATTTCCAAGCTGAGCACTTGTGTTCATAAGAAAGTATCACTTTCCCATAATGGCAAAGTTAAATCTGCACAAGTTCATTAAGATTCTGGAGGAGGAAAAAAAAACAATTAATTGACAGTCAGCGTATACAGCAGTACAATTGAACTGCTTTGTCAGAAGAGCCCAACCCTTCCCTCCACGGACAACCTCAACTGTCCTTAAACCCAAGCCTTCCAGCAGATTCCCACTACTTTGCCAACTGAGCTTACTCACCTCTTCAGGCTGAAGCCCCTGCTCATTTAAGCCAGTGAGACATTCTTCATGTCTAAGCTTTTAAGGCCAGGAAGGCAGTTCTGACAGTGGTGTCTGCACAGCACAGTCTCACCCAGCATCACCTACAGCAAACTTACAACTTCGTTGCACTTGTGGTGAGTCCCCTGGAAAGGTAACTGGGCATGGTTAGAAGTCTAAGCAGCATAGTGACCATGACATAAGATGCCTGATTCTGTGATCATTTCTCTGTTAGGAAAAAAAAAAAAAAAAAAATTAAGGAAACAAAAGCATGCATTTATATACTTCTGTCCATCCTGAATATATCTCCCATCTCTGTTCTTACTCTTTTTTCCTTCTGCATTATGGAGCTGGCTTATACCAGCCTCTTCTTCTCTTCTATAGATATATACTGTAAACAGATCCCCTCTTTACTTTGGATAAACTAGACATATCCTAGTAAAACAAACAAACAAACAAACAACTTTAATCCCTCTTTTAAAAAAAAGTTTAATGGCAGTTGAAGCTGTCTGCGCAGTGAGTAGTTGGGCCCTTCTGATTAGAAGCTCACTCGCACTGCAGGTTTACTATCTTCAGGGCATGTTTTCAGACTTGCACATAATCCAATTGCTCTTTTCTGAACCCTCTCCTATTTTTCAGTACTTCTCAGCCAGGATATCAGGACGAAGTGCACTGCAATGCTAACCACATCGCTGCTGCTCCATGGAGAGCTACTGCCGCAGCCCCATCCCTCTCGACAGCCTCTCCCCTGCACCCCTGAGCACTACTCATCAGTCCGGCTGGCACGCACGTTCAGCACACATTCCACGACAAGCCCCAAGCAGACCTTGGCTTTATTGCGTTGGAAGATACAATGCTGTTAACAAGACACCCATCATGCTTCGTCCCTAGATACATCACCTTTCATGTCTGCTGGTCTTCTCTCCACCGTCATTGACCACTCCACCAGTTTCTCCACTACTGCAAGCTCTACAGATGATGATTATTCCAAATCATTCATCAAATTGCTAAATAATAAATAATAATTGCTGAATAGTACTAGATTGGTAGTTGCTAAAGTGTTAAACCAGTACTGGAATGAGTTCTTGTGGAGAGCTGATAGACATACCCTCCTTTGGATACCAGTTTTCCATTTACATTTATATTTTGCAATTTAGCAGATTAATTGGCATATGATCCACCCGGTGAGGGTCTACTATGATATTTGCAGACTTCCAACATTTTCATCAAGATGGCAGATTTCAATTGTCTTGCAGAAATCAAAATATACTGCATTGACATCATTAAACTGAGCAAACTGATGTTTCATAAACCTACAGGAATACTTCTGCTATTATTTTTAATTCATTGCTTATGGATCCTCTTCTATCTTTACACAATGTCTCCTCCAGAGAATTGCTAGATTAATTGGTCTATAATTTGCTGGGTTATTCAATTTACCCTTTTAAATTGTGGCATAATATTAGCTCCTGCATCCCTCAGCCCTCATGCTCCAAGACTTGCTAGAAATGAGTGCAAGCAGTTCATAAATCTCCTCAGGCAATCCTTTCAATGCTTCTGGATACAAGCACTATAGTCCTGAGATTTTAAAATGTTTAACTTCAACAGTTGCTGTTTAACATCCCCACTAATTAAGAACAGAAGAGAAAGTGTTTGCTACCACGCTGAGACACGAAAACATCATCTGCTTCTTTCTGACCACAGAACAAATAATTACTGAAAAATTCTGAGGCAAAGCTTTCAGGGAGAGGTAATATCTTTATTAGACTAACAGGTAGTTTTGATCATACTGATAGCAAGTCTAATAAAAGGTTTTATCACTTCCTGCAAAATTTGCTTGACCTAAATCTTTAAACTATCATGACTCCAAAAGCACCATTATGAGAAGAATTCTAGTTATTCAGTATTGAGACTGATAATTTTATCATCCTTGTCTATGACTCTCCACATACCAATGCTAAGGTTTCATCTGTCCTCATACATTTAAGGAATCCCTTTAAAACAAAGAGGTTTAGGTTGTTCAACACTGCTTTTAGCCTCTTTTATTTTCTTTATTTTTATTTTATCATCTCAATTGTCTGAATTTTCTGTTGTTTAAGAGCCTCACATTCCAATTTTCTATATGGGAATGTGCATGAATGTGTATACATGCATTTGTTTTCATATATAATCGCTGCTCTTGCTTCTAATCTGCAGCAGGTTGTATCTTGTTTTTCCCCAACTGCTGAATTGCAGGGGCTTGAAATTTAATAAACCTTTCTTAAGGAGTTTTCTATTATTGTTTGTACTCTGGTGTTTCAATTTTTCTCATTATGATTTTGTCTTTTGAGAATTATCCCTTTTTAGAACAGTGAGGAAGCAAGAGACAAAGACTGCTGGATATATCTGTCTTCTCGCTGGGATCAGCAAATGCTGGATTTGATCACTCACATTTCAACAATGCTTTTTACTTATTTCTGAAGTAACCAAGTTGCCTTATGCAACAAAAATAATATCTAATACAAGGTTTTCTTAATAATATGTAAAACAGCTTTTTATTTTGTTCTTAGAAAACTACCTACCATTTTTAGAAACTCTAAGGTTATGGTGTGAGTGGAAGAATGCACATGTGATCCAAAATTTACTTTCCTCTGCTTATGCCCTCTGCTAACCTCATGTTATAAGGGGATGTTCTTGGCGACCTACAAAGGTCATTCACCTTCACTCTTTCTCCTCCATTCAACCACCACCTTCCAGCCTTTCTTTATGTAGCCCTGTGACCATCAGCTTATAAGAGCTCTTAGCCTTTTAGAAACAAATCACTCTGGGGTACAAATGGTATCTTTGATGCCGAGAGCTACTCCCAACCTACCACATGCATCCAAAATACACATACATCCCTGCTGCCCAGTTTACTGTTCCTGCAGAGGCTATGGCCAGCATCTGGGCACTCCAGTTATCTTGGTCTTGCAGCCATCTGTCACTACTCCTGATGATATCCAATTTCTTTTCAGGAATGGGAAAGTGTAATTCCTCTTGTTTATTGCCTGAGCTTCTTGTGTTGGTAGAAAGGCTGTTAAAGAATTGTTTTTCTTTAAATGCCTCCATGCTTTCATTCTTTACATTGCAGTAACCTTGAGTTTAAGTAGTATGACTAGAGCAAATGTGCGGTGTTAGTGTCTCTTGATTCACTCTCACATCTGTGCTCGTTTAAAATCTTTGGGGTCATTTCAGTCAGGTAACTCCCCAGAAGATGGGCGTCTGTCTTAGACCCAAAGCAACTCACACACCTTCCAGCCCTCCCACTGCATGCATTCCCCTGTCATCCTCTCTGGTCTGCTGTCACCCACACATCTACAGAGCCAACACAGGAAGGTATAAAATGCCCCCTCTCTCACTTAAGAGACACTTAAAAGTAATGGTGTGGAGAATCATGACCAAAACCCTTCTTAAATGTGCTTCTTCCTGTATCTTCATGTCTCCTGTCTACATCTTATGATGATTAAGCCCAGAGGTCCCCTCCTCCTCTGAAGTGTACATTCACTGCAGAAAGCTGTTCTGTATGTGCATATAACATGGTGACATATACCTATTATACCAAAATTATTAACCATGCTGGTGTTTCTGACTACTATTTGTGCAACTCACTGCTGTAGCACATAAGAAGTGCCCCCAGCCCCATTTATTACATCATTTCCCTAGGATGTTAGGCATTATGACCACCAGGATATGACCTGCTGCTTCTCTAATATCTGCAGGTTATGGGTGAATCACCTTATCATGATGCAAACTTGCAGCATCAACAGAGTCCTGAAAGACTAGATATTTATTTTCTAATATACAGACCCACACAGAGAGCTCTACTCTCCCCCAAGCACTGTTCCTCTGGGTCTCGCTGCTGTTATAAACAAACTGCATGCTGGTTATTTTGCTTTCACAAACTGGTGTTCCTCAGACGGTTCTGCACAGCCTTGGGGTGAGCTGTAGACACCAGCTCTGTGTGTGCAGCACTCAGAGATGTATTGTTATCAACTTTTTAAATTTTTTTCTGCAAGAGGGAGGAAATTTGGCAAGTGCATCTAGTCCTGATAACAAAGCCATTGTGGGAAATCAAGTAAGAGTGGTGCCAGTTGCTGTGTTTTGTCTCCCTTTGTTCCCTTGGCACTTATGGACTATTTAAATGCTTTCTTGTGTCCATAGACCAAGTGTGGGACACATCATACTTGCAAACACCAGCCTCCTTGTCTTCACATGGTAAAACATGAGCAAGTCACTGCTGATTTTAAGCTGGGCTGGAGAGCCTAGCTCTCTGACTGAGGGGAACGGCATCTTGCATGTTTTAGCAGAGCCACCTAGAAAAAGTATTTGAATTTTAAGGCAGCAGCAGGATAAATCTTCCCTTGGCTCTCTACAGCAAACGAACATTATCTTCAACAGGACAGATTTGCAGATAATCAGTTCAGTGTGAGTTCTTAGTACAGCACTGTAGCCCTGGACAAATGTAGTCATTAGGTGCATAATTAAAGAGTATTGATAGACATAGGGAGCTTAGATTTCCTCTGCATATGAGACTTACCCATCTGTGATGGAAATACTGCATCTGTCACTCAAAAAGCCTCCGAAAACTTAGAAAAGATTCCAATAAATTTCCTGAGAATGACTAGGGTATTTGAAAGCACATTGAAGGGCAACCAATTCCAGGGGCTCAAGCTATTTATCCCATCAGTTCTGAGGGGCTATTTAGATAGGTCCTAAAAGTTCCTACCTGGGGAAGAAGAATTTGAGCAGATCTCAGTCTGTTACCTAGCAATCAAATGCATCAAAGATCAAATGGCTAGAACCTGAAGCTAGAAAAAATGAGACTTGATGCCCAGTGAAGTTTTTAAACAATGTTTGTACTTAATCACTGGACCAATTTACGGAAGGTAAATTGGATTCTCCATCATGGGAAAGTGTTGTATTAAAAGGGGAGGGTTTGGTTTGGTTTCACTAATAATTCAAATAAGAACTAACTCAGGGCAGTCTTGTGGCCTTGATGGTTGCTTTTAGCTTTTCAGTCTGATATTTTTCTATGCCTGACCTGCAGAAGAGGCAGAGTGTTATCCTGACTTCTGTCACTCAGCCGTCCTGCCATGGCCAGCATGGATCCTTCCACAGGAAACCCCAGAAGGCACAGAAAGGGACTGCAGTGTCCTGGGTTGAGTGAGTGGTGGAGTTTTATGGTGGCAGGGGAGGGGGCTATAGGGGCAGCCCCTGTGAGAAGCTTCACTGACTTTCTCCCTCCCACAGCTACAGCCCTTCCCGAGCTGCTCTGGCGTGGGACACCCCCACATGCTGCAACCCTCCCAGCACTGAATTACAGCAGCGGGGCTGCCTTTTCCCATGAGACCCCGGCCTTCTTCGGGCACAGCACCTTGATCATCAAAGCAGAAGCCACAGGCCATAAATCAGTGTCTGCTCCACCGTAGATCTTCACGGGTGGCGGGGGGGCCGCCCTGCCATCTCACCACAGGATACAGGGGGGTCTCTTCTCCGGCACACCTCCCCCCTCCTTTCTTCCTCCGTTCCTCCACTGACCTTGGTGTTCACGCAGCTGCAGCAACTCCTCCTCACAAGTCCCACTGCTCCTCACCACGTCCCTTCTTAAATACGTTATCACAGAGGCGCAGCTGATGGGCTCAGTTTCCAAACAGAAGTGGAGCTGACTTGGAGCTGGGTGAGCTTCGAGAAGCTTCTCACAGGGAGCCACCCCAATAGCCCCCTCCCCTGCCACCAAAAAACTCCACCACTCACTCAACCCAGGACATGCAGCCACAGCATCCCCTTCTCCTGCCATCACAGACAGGGGAGCCACTCAAGATCGTCACCTACAAGGCTATTCAGGCCCTCGTTCCCTTTTAGTTCTTTTCCATCAATACACAGCGCTCTTCCACTTGTGAACTTACATCCCTATGGGGTTCAGCTCCTTCTACACCTACCTCATGCTGGTATACTTTTTCTTGAAGTGGGTAATACAGATCTTTTGTCACTCAACATCCCCATCTACAGAAACAGTCTCAAGCTTATGGCTTCAGCAAGAAAACAAGGCAACATGACAAGGCAAACAGCAAAGTGCCTTTTAATTCCTCCATGACTATTGCTGGTATAACCCTTGGTGGCAGGAACGCTCAGCCATATCCCCCCTCTCCTGTTCACCTTCGTAGGGCAGAAGCCCCTTTGTAGGGGTCTGTTTGCCCACAGACATACTTGGGAAGGTCAAGGCAAACCTGCTGCAGGCAGGAGGTGATGCAAATAATTCAGAGCACATTCATCTTTAAGAAGATGTTTAGATGGCTTCAGGGTCCTAACACATAGGTTCTGCAAGATTTAGGTGGTGTGATGGAGGACACTGTCTTTTCCACCTGCCTGTCCTCCCCACTTATTCCTATCATCAAAGCAAGAGTGCAAGAGACAGGGAAGGTCTAATTCCTGGTGCCGCAGTTCATCGACTCGAGAGTTAATCCAAACTGAAATTGATTGTGCAAGCAATTAATAAGACAGAGTGACAACTGCAGCACTGCGGAGAGCTGAAGGCGGGCCAAGTTATGACCCTGCTAGAAGTCTCCAGCTAGAGGAGGGAACAGATTGCTAATCGGTTAAATCTTCCCAACATGAATCACCTGAGTTTGTGCAGCAGAGTCTTTAATTCACTGTAATTTAATTCTCCAAGGCATAAACTACAGAGATCTACAGCCACTTAAAACTCCTGAGTGAGAGCATCCAGGCCTGCTATGAATTTTCCTCAGTGTCTTCACACCTTCAGTTCAATTTCTACCTCTCATGCAGACATGGACCAAGAGCTATATAACTGCTTTTCAGGCTCAGCCCCATGCAAACTCCCAAGAAGAGGTCTGACCACACAGTGTCTCAACACTTTGGTCAAAAATGTTTTTTGTTTTTTGTTTTTTTTTGTTTGTTTGTTTTTTTGGTTTTTTTTTTTTTTTTTTTTTTTTTTTTAAAGCTGTGTATGTGACTCTTGCCCTGTTTTGCTGATTACAACTTTTATCAGTCCTGCTGTGAGAGGGACATTTTCCACTAAACACCATTTTTGTGATTAGGTGTGAAGTGCTTACTGGTCTCATTTGAACTTGATATCATTTTCTCCAAAGATTTTTTTTTTTTTTTACTTGGTGTCAGTACATAGCAGAGTTCCAGCTGACATAAAAACTCCAGCTCCTTGCATCTGAGAAGTGTCTAAATTTTGAATGCATAAGGTCTTAAAAATTGAGTGTCCTTAATGAGATATGGGTCATAAGCACT